TATTTATTTCTTCTCTATGGCTACACTGTAACGTGTAGTTTTTTGGTCCCCCCCCCAACCAGCCACTTGGGCTCTGCCACAGTTGCAGTCCCCAAATAATACACAGAAGGCTATATTAATTATGAAGTTGTTGGCCATTTGCTTGTTTCTTACTGGCTAACCCATAATTGTTAATCTAAGTATTTCTCTTACCAGAGAAAAGGGGCCGGACATCTTCTCTGGCGAGCTACATTGTCTCTGCCGTGTCTCTCCTTCCCAGAATCCTCCTCAACTCCTAGTCCCACCTATCTTGCTTCCCTATTAGCCAACAGTGCTTTATTGACATATACACAGGACTTCCCCATCACTACACATTAATTGAAAACGGTTTAGAACTTTGTTTTATCTAGAAGCCAATGAAAATATCTAGTTGTTTAGTAAATATTTTTATTTAAGTTTTAAAGACTTATGACAGTTAAGTGATTTTGGATTGGTTGTTTGTTTTTTTTTTTTAAGTTTTGAGATACAATTTCATGTAACCCAGGCTGTCCTGAAACTCACTATGACCAGGAACTCCTGATCTTCCTGCCTCCACTTTCCAAGACCTGGGATTGCAGGGGTGTACCTTATCCAGCTAATTTTAATTTAATTTTAAGACAAGTATGTTTATAATTGATATGTAATTTAGACTGGCCTCAAACTCCCAACAATCTTCCTGCCTCAGCCTCCTGAACACTGGGATTAAAGGCATGTGCCACCATGCTCTGTCTTATTAAGCTATGTTAGTGATTGGGAGAGTTCCGGGATAGCAATGTAAGTGAAGATCATAATACTGGTGTTAGAGATTGAGTTCTCAGACTTTTGAAGAATGAGGGGGATCTGCTGTGGGGAGGGGGGCACGCAGGAGACCAGGATGAAGTGATTCCAGGCAGTGAAACCCAGGGAAAGAACCATGGAGACAAAGACCTGGAGAAATGATGAGAGAGGCTCATGAACGAAGTGGTATTGGTTATTAGCAGTCAAGTAAAGGGGCCAGACCTTGTGTGCCTGGGAATAGAGTTTGTCTTTGACTTTAGGATTCCTCATTGGAAGGTTTATTTTTCTGATAACCTTTGCTAGTATAACACATGGATTTATTATCTCTCCTATTATACTATGTTATTATGATTTATTTACTGTACTTTGTTTTTTCCTCTTTTAATATCCAGGGTTAGATCCCTTATAGTATACTAAGTAGACACTGTAGTCATAATAAGTTTATACACAAATATCAAAGGAACACTTTCATTATTTTGGAGCAGGGTGTCACTTTCTCATCTTCTAGTTTAACTACTGCAGATCCTCCCCCAAGAAGTCCTAAAAGAACCTTCTGCATTACTTTTCTGTTCCCCTCCACTCTCAGGTACCAAAGCCTTCTGAAATTGCCAGTTGATGTTAGAGTGTATAGTGGCACCATCTAGTGGTGATTTTGAGATCTAACCAAGTTTAAAGTCATTTGATAACCAACAGCATAGAATTTCAAAAGTAACTTTCTATCATTTTTACAAATTGCTGGAGCATTTATTTAATATCATATTTTTGAGCCTCTGAAATAGTCCTCAAGTAAACAGATAGCATAAATATTATAATTTATAAATAACATGGTTTATAAACAAATGATTTATACATTTTATACCTTTTTTAAACAAGGTAGCCCAGACTGCCCTTAATCTCTTCTTTTTCCATTTTTATTCATTTTACATTCCAATAACTGTTCTCCCTCCCACTTCTCCGCTCCCCTTCACCTCCTCCCCCCACCTCACCCCCAGTCCACAGGTAAGGACTCCCATGAGGAGTCAACATAGTTTGGCACAATAGGTTGGGCAGAGCCAGGCCCCTCACCTTGATCTCTTGATCTCCTGCCTCTGCCTCCCAAGTGCTGAGTTGTTGGTATAAGCACCCACACCTGCTACTGTGCATTTATTTTAATTATATCTTGAAAATATGATGCTTAGAGATTTAGTTAAAGAAAATATTTAGTTTGAAGTAATACAGAATTTCAGAGACTCTGCCATTTGTGGCCATAGGAATTATCCAGTGAGAAAAACGCATTATTAAACACACTGGGGATAAGACAACACTCTGTCGCATACATTATCGCTTATGCCTCTGAGTGAGAGTATCAAGCTCATGAGGTAACTTTTTCCTAAAAGCCTGTTGCTCCTTTTCATTTTTTTTCTATTTGGGCAGTTTTGAAAACTAAACAACCCTGTCCTTCTCAGTTCTTGGTGATGCCTGTTGCGTGTGTCTTGCATATTTACAGATCTAACCAGAGAGACTTCAGTGCTGAATCCTACTTTTTATTTTTTTTTGTGGATTTTTAATGTATATTCTTGTGGGGAGGCTTTGTGCAGTTGCTCTTGGAGACCAAAGTGGGGAGGGTACTGGAGCCCTCAAATTGAGAATTACAGTCACTTGTGAGCCACTTGTCATGGTGCTGGAAACTGAACTCTGGTCCCTTGCAAGAACTGTACACAATCTGACCACTAAGCACATCTCTCCAGCTTCACCTTTGTGGGTCTTTAAATATAAGCTGTATAGAGATGTCTTACTGGTGACTTGTAATTGATGGACATCTGTGACAAGGAATGATATTTTGATCATTTAGTCTATTCCTCATCTAAAGAGACTATTGAGTGGGGACAGTATTAATAAAAATAAAAACATTTGGTAACAAATCTATGCTCACCTGCAATCCCAGTACTACTCAGAAAGAGGCAGGAGTATCAGGAATCAAAGGCCAACCTTGGTTACATAGTTCAAGACCAGCCTGGGCTGCCAGAGACCCTGTCTTAAAACATGCAAACATCACTTTCATGCATAGCATAATAGAAGTATAAAACTATTGCCATTTGTTAAAAAAAGGGGAGGATGCATGTATTCACTGCCAAAGGGATAGAGGGGTATAATTATTACCATGGAACAGCTGGAGACGCTGAAGCACAGGGAGAGTAAATGCTTTCACAAGGTCTCACCACTGTTAGGTTAGTAATGTGAGCACGCAGGCCCAGATGTGAAGGACCCTGTCAGTGCTTTTGCTGTCAGTGGGAAAACCACAATAGAAAAATGCACAGGAAACCTCACTGGTTGATAACTCTTATTTAAATACATGTCAAGTACTTGATAAAAATCTTGGTTCAAATATATTGTTTACAACATCTGTATTTGTTTGTTTCCACTCTTAATTATAGCTGACAACTTCCATCTTAAAGGAAGCTTTAAAAATTTGCCTTTCAGACCCAATGTTTATTTCTCCTTGTCCTTTGGCTATAAACAGCAGGGTACCTAGTGACAAACTACCCGTGGACCAGCATTTTGCCTGTCTTTTTTCAGCTTTTAGAAGTGAGACACAATCTTCCTTCCATATTCACAGATGTGGTATCCTTACAACCAGCCAACTGCAGATTAAAAATGTAAGGGATATTTAGATAGCATTAACTTGTATGAAGAATTATTAGAGGCTACACATTATTTAAAATATGAAGAAGGATGTATATAGGCTTTATACAAGTCTAGGATACTTTACATAAAGTTCTTAAGCATCCACAGATTTTATTTGTGAGGGTGCCTAGAACCAATCTCTAATGGATGCCTATGCTTCTCAGCAGATGGAGTGTATTGGTAACAATGACTTGAGCAGAAACAGTTAAGCTCTGATTTGTACACACTTATAGGTATGTGTTACTGTGTAAATAGTATGTGTGGGATTTCTATGTTTTTATATTAAATTTTTGTGCAGATTTTTCATCCCTTTTTACAGTTTCAGTCGTGGGGCTTTTGCTAATTTTACTTTGTTCCCATGGCTTCTTTCACCCTGCCTCCTCATTCCCCATCCCTATCACCCCACAGTATGTATATAAGGATAAACAAGCTATGTGTTATATAATATCTTGTCAGGCATACATATACTCATTTATCAAATGTATGTATAGATAGACATGTACATAAATGGGATCCCATACAAAAATGGGATCATATTACATATACCTTGGAAATATAGGCACTTCCAATCAGCTGTCCCAATCCTGAGAGTTCTTCCCACTGATTTGCAAGCTATGTGCCCAGGGTGTTTTCTTGAGTGTTGCTCATAGTAGCAGGAGACAAAAGAGATCACTGAATAAATCATGCTGCATCTACACCACGGGATTCTAGGCAGTCACTGCAAAACCCAATTTGAGTTAAACCAGAAGTGTCTCCTCTACCATTCTCTATTGTGATTGTACTTTATTTCTTTGCTGACAATTTAGTGAGGCTTCTAGAGGGAGATGAAATAAATGTCAACAGGCCCCCTTGTAACTGGAAATTCAGTGAAGTAAATTTGAAGACCTGATTTAGCTTCTATTTCCTTTCCTACTAGAGCTGTGGAGGGTTTCTCCAACCTTTTTCCTCCTCTAACTTGACCTTCTGTATTGGAAACAGGAAATCCACAGCCTGCTAAGTGTCAAGTTCTTCTTGCCTGAATTTTAAACCCTTGGCCTTTTTCACTAGTGATGTTGGAAAAGTACCACATCAGATATGGTCTCTACTGTTATTTGGTGGGGTTTTGGGTTTTGTCTTTGTTTTTGTTGTTGTTATTTGTATTGAGCTTCACTACATAGCTCAAGGCTGGCCTCCAATTCACCGCAGTCCTCCTATCTCAGCGCTAAGAGAGCTGAGTATAAGTGTAAGCTACCATGCCTGACTCAAAACATAGTCTTTGGGTTTTTGTTTGTGTGTTTATTTTTAAGACAGAGTTTCACTGTAGCCCAAGCTGTCCAGAACTCACTGGCTTTGAAATCATAGCAATCCTCCTGTCTCTACCTCTTAGGAAACAGGATTACAAACACAAGCCACCACACCCAGCTGTAATGTGGTCTTTAAGTAAACTGAGAACTGATTAATTGTCTGTTCAGAAACAGTTCCTGGAACATTTGGTCCTGTTTGGTAATAAATTAAGAGGAAATAAACCACCCTAACTACCTTTTGTTCTTGCTTCTATACAGATTTGAGAAAGGACGCATCTACACATTTATTGGAGAAGTGGTCGTTTCTGTGAACCCCTACAAGGCGCTGAACATCTATGGGAGGGACACAGTTGAGCAGTATAAAGGTCGTGAGCTGTATGAGAGACCTCCTCATCTTTTTGCTATTGCTGACGCTGCTTACAAGGCTATGAAGAGGCGATCAAAAGACACCTGTATTATGATATCAGGTATTTAGAGGGGGCCCTGGTTTCAATGTCAAAGGTATTTAATCTTTTTTTTTTGAATTCTTCTTTCAAGAATTCACACAATTGATGAGTTGTTGTTTTCTGGGTTTTTTTTTAAGCTTAGAAACCTAAGGTATTTTATAGGGCCCAGAAAAGTAATGAACACTGTATTCCCTGTTTGATCAGTCTCTAGTCTTGGTTTTGGAGTCTGAGGCAAGAGGATTGCTTGAACTCTCGGAAGTTCAAGACCACCCTGAACAACATAACAAGACCTCATCTCATAAAAAAGAGTACACATTACACTTGCATGCCTTTTGGTCATTTGCAGACTGAGCCAGCATGGGATATGATTCCTCCTATCTGAAGCACACACACACAAAAAAAAATACCAATTAAAAATAACAAAAATAGTTCAAACGTTAACAGAATGAAACAAAGAAAACAATGGGCTTACATGTCAATGTGAAGAATGAACTCAAAGTCAGACTGGAGTTTGGAAGTTGGTGCTGTGGCGCAGACAGAGGCAGGGGTGGGCTTCCTGAGCATGGGCCTGAGCTTTTTGGAGGAGAAGATGAGCTGTAATCCACATGCTTAGAATGAGAGCCTAGCCACTCTCACAGTGTTAAGCACTTTGAAGCATCTCACCTAGTAAAATGAGGAGAAGGACAACACTTTTTCCCTGGCCCAGGATGGCCTCTCAAACTGTGGGAATCTCTGTTGGTGCTAATAATACTTCCCATTTACTCTAGTTGCTTTTGGGCTTTTCAAAATATTTTTGTCATCATTATTTTATTTTGGTTATCAAAATAACTTCAAGTGGTATGTAGTATAGTTATTTTTCTACTTTACAGATAAGAATGCTAAGGGTCAGAAGATTAAATAATTTAGTATTGGAATTGGAGAATTATAGCCCAGAACTAAATTGTGTTTTTTTAAATAATTAAGAAATTTAGAAAGTTATCCAGTTACACAAATTTATGAATTAAAAAGTCCTTTACTCTTTTTTTCATGCAATGTATTTTTATCATTTATCAGTGTATTTTATTATTTGTCACCTTCAAGTTCCTCCCTTCCAATTCTTCTCACCACCTCCATTTCCTCCTTCCAACTTCATGTCTTCTTTTTTGCTTATAACCCACCCAAATCTAGTTGATATTAGATATCTTTATACACATGTATGTAGAGCCATCCCCTGGAGGATGATCAACCTACCAGGATCTACACCCCTGAAAAAAACTGATGCTCTTTTCCCCAAGTAGCCATCAACTTTTGGTAGCTCCTCAGCTAGAGGTGGGCCTTGGAAGGTCCTTTCCCATCCATGCTAGATATTGGCAGGCATGAATTTCATGCAGGGTCTGGTGCAGGCAACCACAGCTACTTCTTGTGAGTTATGAGTACAGGGGCCTATCATGTTTTAAAGACAAGTTAAAACAGTCCTCCCCAACTTCTGGGTCTTAAAACCTTTCCACCCTTTCTTATACAGTGTTCCTTGAGCTTTGTGATAAAGATATCCCACTTATGGTTAAGCCCTGTATAGACCCTCATTCTCTAGAGTTTTTAGACCAGTTGGGAGTCTCTGTATTAACCATTGTCACTACAAAAAGAATTTTAGAAGGCAGTTTAAGACTATGTCCATTTATAAAAGTAACAGTAGTAGATTCCTCTAGGGCTGTGACCTCCCCAGCCACAGATTCTTGGCTAAGTTTACAATACCAGGCATAAGTTTCCTCCTGTGGATTGGGCCTTAAGTCCAATCAGATAGTAGTTGGTTACCCCCATAACATTCTTGCCATTACTGTAACTCACAGAGTAAAACTGTTGATGAACACCAATATCAGCAGCCTACGTAGCACCTTCTGGGTACCGTGAAAGCAAGCAAGCAGAGAGAAAGCTTCTAGGTCAGGTCCAGCTTGATTTCTACATCTCCAGTGACCAAAGTATACAGTATCTTCAGCAGTAGGGTCTAAGTGAACAACCATGAGCAATGGCAATAGCTGTGTTCCTCTAGGACCCATCTAACATGGGGAAAAATTCACTTGTTCTTGAACGTCTTGTCCCCCAACATTCCAGAAGTAGCAGATGGTAATGTGTGTCCTTTTGCATATTTTCTATCTATGTGTAGGAACATAGAGTCACACATGCATAAGTAAGTAAAAATACATAATTGTAAGCATATACTGCTATTACAAAGTTAGCTTTTCCAATCAGCAGTTTATAGTGGACATACTTTCATTAGAGTTTCTATAGAACTAGCACATTCTCTTTAGCAGTTCTATATGTAGTTACTATTTTTATCCAATTATTTATCAATCTGTTAGCCCAATTTTAGCCATAACACATAGTATATTCTATTAAAAGATGGGAGATTGGGACTGTAGAGATAGCTTAGTGGTTAAGAACACTGACTGCTCTTCCAGAGGAACTGGGTTCAATTCACAGCACCCACATGGCAGCTAACAACTGTCTGTAACTCCAAGATCTGATACCTTCACACAGACATACATGCAGGCAAAACACCAGTGCACATAATATGAAAATAAATAATTTTTTAAAAGATGGGATATTGATACGTTTGATTACACTACATTTAAAAATATTTTCTTGGGAGAAAGTTTAGTAAGTGATATTTTGGGGTTTAAACAACTAGATGGAATTTCTAAATCTTTCCCTCCACCACTACCACTTGTACCCATTATCACACTTTACCATGATGTCTTGTATCTCAAACATGTTGTCTTTTTTCACTAAAATTATTGTGTTTGGTTTAAGATTTTTGCTTTTCTTTCCTTTTTTATGCTAAGAATCTGGATCTGTCTGGTTTCAGAAATCCCTGTGCTCAAGCTACCTTTCTCAGCCCTCTGATTCTCTGGGACTGTGAGCACTTGACTCTAATTTTTGTAATCAATTACTTTATTCCCATTAAATTTAAAATAAGTTTTCTGTGGAAAATAAAGTGATACGAATGTAGCTGTAGCTATTGTTTGGATCAGCACCTTAGTTTGTTTCAGCTATACTTAGGAGTGATTGTTTAATCTAAGGATTTAGTTTACCACAATTTACTCCTTGATATATTTTTCCTTAACTAAATACTGATTTGCAATTTATAATTTTGCTTCTGTCACTTTTTAAGACATGTTCATATCTATGAGAAGCAGCCAAGGACAAAATAATAAGAAAGGGGGAGGAGGAGGAGGAGGGTGGAAGACAATGTAACACATGGAATTTTAAATGAATAAAGGTTTAAATTATTCTGTTGACAATGAGCTTACTTCTGGCTTACCTTATGGTGTTAAATCCTCCAGGGGAAAGTGGAGCTGGTAAAACAGAGGCCAGTAAGTACATCATGCAGTATATCGCCGCCATCACCAACCCCAGCCAGAGAGCAGAGATAGAAAGGTAAGGCTCAGGGACACAGGCTGGTGGGGCTGGGCTTCTCCTAGTGTGCATATGGGCTAGGCCTAAACTGCAGGCATCAAACATTTTTTGATGTGTAAATTACTTTGATTCTCACATTGCATATTATCTTTCTGCTTTTACTTCTATTACTATATCGATTTCCAGCTTAACCAAGTTAAAAAAAATGTTAAAACTACTTTGAAATAGTTGAAGGTGTCCTGGTTCCAGCCAGTTTTCAACCTCAGGAACAGTTTTGGCTTTATTGTTTAAGCCTCTGGAGGTTTCTTTCTCTATGTTTTAAAAAGTTGTGCTCTGAGTGACACGAAGTCCTGGAAGGTAAACCCATGACTTCCCATCACTAACACAACCATAACCCACAGATGCTGGGAGCCAAAGTAAGGTTCATGTGTAAGAGGGCCTCATACTGCACTGTGCTGGGCTCACAGTTCGATGAGTAGCATAGTTCTGCACTGTGTGGGGCACCCATGTTTAAAACAGTGCCTGGCATACAGTGTTTGCTAATAAATGTATAAGGAGTGAATGGGTGACTGTTTTGTTTGTTTTTTAATGAGGCAACATGGCTGGCCTTCTTATGCAGTGCAGCCTTTTCCAAGAAGGAGAGGGGTGCTTTCCTGATTGACTGCTTTGAAGCTGAATATTAGTTTACTGAAGAGTCACAACGCATCTGTACATCACAGCAGCTCAACAGCCTGGGATCCAGGGTGCTGGGTGATGTGAAGGAAGAGAATTTACAATTGATGCTACTGTGTGGACTTTGCATTTTCATCGTAACTGGGTTACGCAGTCAAAAGAAACCTTTTAAAATCTGTGACATATTCCCACTTGTGATTTTTCACTTTGCAGTCTAATTTGAGGGTGAACATTTGATCAAATTTTTGTAATTTCTTTTGAACCTCAGGAGAGTAACTGGCTGAGAGCTAAATTACTTTCATTTCTGTATAGCAGATAAGGCTTATGTAAATTTACTGTCTTTCTGGAGCATATCAGGCCATCACCTTATGGTTTCCTTTTTAAGCCAGCAGTTCCTACACACATGCCTTTGTTCACCATACAGTCATTTATGGGAAGCAGTTCGAAGTGTTCCTTGCAGGATTAGTGGGAGGGAAGATGGTCCACTAATCAGGTCATGTCAGAGGCCAGGTTATTCCTACAGGTGTGACTATGTGAAGAATCTTGTCAGTGAAATAGAAACAAAGAGATAACTAAAAGTTAAGATTTATCCAGTTTTTTAAGTGTCTTCATCTCTGAAATTTTTATAATAACTTTGATATATTTTTGTTAAAGAGTGAAGAATATGTTGCTGAAGTCAAACTGTGTTTTGGAAGCTTTTGGAAATGCCAAAACCAATCGTAATGACAATTCAAGCAGGTTTGGGAAATACATGGATATCAACTTTGACTTCAAGGGAGACCCTATTGGGGGACATATCAATAACTACTTGCTGGAAAAGGTAAATGTGTAGATTTCTAGGGTGATGCTTGTGAGAGCTGAATGTTTAAAAATACTATTTGTGAAATTTCATTTATTGTTTTAAAATAGTGTTTAATCCTATTATCCCTCTTCAAGTTTGCCTTCCCACTTTTCATCCACAAACACAAAGGTTAGTGCGGTATCTGAGTGCTACAAACCATGCCTTGAGCATTATAAAGTTTTAAATGATAGTTACATGATTTAAATCTATTGTTATTAATTGATTTGTTCTACTTTCCTGACATGTTGAAATCTGTATCTCAATAGCAGAATTATAGCTGATTTTCTACTTATTCAATTGTGTGTAGCTATGAAAGTAAAATTATGCCATAAACTCAATTACACAAAGTAAAAAAAAAAGAGTTTGCCTTCCATAATAAGATACTCTCTTCCTGTGTTCTCTTTGGGGTAATTAGCCCAGTGGTTCTCAACCTTCCTAATGCTGCAATCCTTTAATACATTTAGTTCCTCATGTTATGGTGACCCCCAAACATAAAATTATTTCATCACTACTTGATAACTGTATTTTTGCTACTGTTATTATCATAATGTAAATATCTGATACACAGGATATCTGATATGCAACCCCTGTGAAAGGGTCGATCAACCCCCAAAGGAGTCATGACTCAGAGGTTGATACCCCTGACTTAGTATATTGAGTTAGAAAATGTTAGACTTTGTCAGCGTAGATTTGGGATGTGTGGCATCCACACCACGAACAAGTCCGCGGTATCAGGAAATGAAAGACATGACGTCTGGCTGTTTGCACTAAGAGAATGCGTCTGCCACCTTTATTGCCAGAAGAATGCATGTGTATCTGTGTCTCTGCATGCTGTATGTCTGCCTGTGTGTCTGCCTGTGAGGAGGGAGCAGCCTTATATACAGACTTATAGCACAGTGGAGAAACCCCAGGTGTAAGAGCTCGTGTTTTCCTCATGCTAGATATTGATGTCAGGTGGGCAAGGCCAGGGCTGTAAGCCAGGACTAGAGAACAGGATGCACATGTGGTGATCAGCTGACAAACAATGCACAGAAATCCATGGGGGCTGGGACCCAACAGGGGTGTGTATGGGACAGGAAGAATGTGTGACAAATCTGGGTAAGATTTAACTCAAACCAATCAAATCACTCTCTCCCTCCGGCCCTCCTTTCTCCTATGTAGCTAAGGTTGGCATGTAACTCACCGTCCTCATGCCTCAGCTTTCTAAGAGTTGAGGTTACAGGAGTATACACCGTCATGCCCAGCTTTCAGGCATAGCCTTTTCTTATGTCTCTATCCTCCATTCAGTTTACTTTTAGCTAAATTGAAATTTCCCTTCCTCTAGCTTCTGGTTGCTTACTGCTATATAGTGTATATAACTGACTGCAGCAGGACACAGGCATTCATTCTCTCAATCCAGTTAAGCCATGTTATACAGTCACCTCCACCTTGAATTGTGCTTTGATGTTTCTCTGTCAAGGGTTCCCCATCCCAGTGACCCCACAGCATCTTATAGTGCTGTAATTTCTATTATCTGTTATATAGAAGCTGACTATTAAGTAAATAAGTGCTTTATCAGAGTCAGTTGGAAAGAAATAGGAAATACCAAGTACTACCCATCTCCTCCATAATGTTTCCTGATTCCACTGTGTGTACATACTCAATCAAAAAGAACACTTTGAATGAACACACATGTTGAGCAGCCTTTTTAGAGAATCTAAGCAGGGTCCCTAGGGCCTGATCATGTTGCCGGATTTTATTATAGGATATGAGGCATTGCTCTTTGAATTACCAGCAGACTCTGAACAAGGGAATGTTGAGAATGTTCCTCCCTAGTGTTCCTTTCCAAATCCCCCCTCAGATTCCTACTGATTGTACATTCTATCTTTAGACTCCAGGTTGAAAAAACATGACTTCATTCCTCATGAATGATAAGGCACCCCCATTTTAAGCAATATAAATAATTATCAAAATAGTGCCAGGAAGACCATAGAGAACACCCATCTCTGATAAGCTTTGGCCACAAATTTTTAATATACTGTGAATACAAGATTCTCTAAGAATGTTGCTTCTGTTTCATTTATACCTACATTTCAGATTAACCATTTTTAAAAATATTTTATTTTTAGTCTCGTGTGATTGTGCAACAGCCGGGAGAACGAAGCTTCCATTCTTTTTATCAGGTTAGTAATCTGTCAGTTCCTTATCCAGAGAATTGATCATTTGCCTGGTTGTGCTGAGAAGTCTTTTTACTGTACTCTCATCTGTCCTACACCTCTCTGGCTTCCCTTGTCTCCACAACAAATTACATGTATGTACAGGCATGCACACATCTACCCGACCTAAGAGACTGTGAGTGTGAGCATTGTGAGAGCTGGTATCTGGCCAGCCAAGTGAATGCTCCCAGGCTGAGCATCACCTGCCTTTCCTCATGGTGGAGTTAACAGTATAATGGCCATGAAAGCTTTTGCTGTGGTACCCTCTAGATGTGTTGATTTCATTTTCTTTTGAATTGAGTTACTACTATTCCTGTACTTGAGAGTTACAGAGATGGGAATGTAAATTTGATTTATGTTGCTCTTGATAGGCATAGGGCAATATGATTACTTTAAAAACAAAAGCAGGATTTATGAATCCAAGGGAGAATTCTCCTCTGTGCTGTCAACACTCAGAAAAAATAAATGGCTTTTGGGGAATGTTATTAGAGTTTGAAACAAACTCTTAAAGAGCCCTCCTTTGGCATGTCTGCTCTCATAGAGCAAGTTGACATTCATAAGATCTTTGAAGATCCAAGTAATGTAAACCAAGACTACTACAAAAGCTGTTGACCTAATTAAGTAACATTTGAAGTTTTAAAGAATTAAAAATATGGGATTAGGGAGCTATCTCAGTTGACAAAATGCTTTCTGTGAGTTCAGTCCCCAGAACCTATGTTTTTTTAAAAAAATAAAGGCAGGATTGGTGGTGTCCATGTACAATCCTAGTGCTAGGTAGACAGAGACAGTCCTGGAAACCACTGGCTCCAGGCCAATTTAAAAAACAGAGTGAATGGAACCCGAGGAATGACACACACCCAAAGCTGACTTCCATGCACACGCCAACAGGAACACACTTGCAATCACACATTTAATACCTTGAGTTAAAAAGATTTATTTCTGGGTAACTGTCTCTGAAGGTAGTTAATGGTGACAGTACAGTCGAATACAACATTGTTTGATTAGATAACTGCTTTAGTCAATGCCATTCAAGTTCTGGTATGTTTGGTTAAAAAAGTTTATCATTCTTTAAGATCTGATAACTGTATATTTGAAGCAAGCCAGAGCTTTCTGTTCAGTACATAACCCCTTCTGAAGGCATGCTCTATAGCACAAAAGTGTGACGAATTTGTTTTGTGTTTCTATTGACAGTTTGCTGGATTTTAGGTAAATATTTCTCTATAAAATATAAGAATTGTCTATTTCAAGAACTTACAGCTTTTGCCAGTATCTTTCCCAGTTGGATGAAGTTACTGAGAAGTATCTTCACTCTGTGTAAGAGTCACAGCCATCAGTCACACTCCTTCCTGACTGTGACAATTGAGGAAAAGCTGTTCAGCACATGGGACTCCTTGTGACTGTCAGCTGGTGCCTCTTCTCCAGAAATGTTGACTTTTCTAAATTCAGCAGAGTGACACTGCTAAGCAGTGATAGTCCTTGTGAATGCATAACATTCTGCCTATCTTAATATATAGAAGCCATTTACCTATAAGTGAGAACAACAGCAACAAAACAAAATCCAAAAATTTCCTCAAAGCATGTAACAGAGGACATAAATGTGTGAGGCCCAGAAAATGAGTAGGAACTAGATCACCACTAAGTTAGAATATTTGACATTTGGGAGGTCAGTATTTGCTTTGACAGTTCGATTAGTCAGGTGGAACCCTGGAGGGACAGAAGCAAAAGAATGAGGGTTTGCTAAAACAGTATTTATTAGATTGGATTACACGATGCTATCTGGGTAGTCCAGCAATGGTGTCTTCGTGCTGGAGACTGGAGAGGCTGAGAACCCAGTAGCTGCTCAGCCCCTGAGACTGGGTGCCTCAACAGGGCATTCTGGTGCTGAAGGCCTGACAATTCCCGAAGTGCTGGTTGCAGTGGTTATGGCTGCAGCAGCAACAAAGTGGATGAGTTGACCTGCAAGATTCAAAGAAGATAAGCAAAGCTGCCACCCAAAGCTGCCCACATTTAGGGTGGTCTTCTCAATTCAAGTACCTGATCAGGAAGGTCCCTCACAGGAGAGTACACAGCAGCTTACCTTTCAGTTGGTTTTAAATGCAGTCAAGTTGACAATTCTGATTAACCATCACAGCAATTTAATTTAAATTGAATGTTTTCCAGCTGCTCCAGGGAGGTTCTGAGCAGATGCTGCACTCTCTACACCTGCAGAAATCCCTTTCATCCTACAACTACATCCGTGTGGGGGCACAGCTGAAGGTTAGTTTCTTCTTTGAGAATGGAGAGGAGGCATAAGGAACACAAGCTGTTCACCCAACCCCTCTGCTGCCCTCAGGCAGATGAATTTTCTCTGTTCTGCTTTTAAAAATCTTAACGGGGGGGGGGTTGGGGGAAGGGCACGGGAAGAGGGGAGGGAATGGGAGAGGGACCTGGAACTGACTTGTGAAGCAACCTTGTTTCTTATCTAAATTTAAACTGGAAAATAAAAGAAAAAAAAAGTACACACAAAACTAAATGAAGGAATTTGTGTAGGTTATCAATGTTATATAATGAAGATATAGACACATACAAAAATTTAACAAACACTGTAACATAGAGACTGAATGTCAGACAATTGAAATGAAATTTATATACAGAGTCTCTGATCTTATGACACAATGATTTCTTTTTCCACTAAAGCATGTGGCAATATCCATAAACATACCCAATGTAGAAAACTAATATTGTATTAGGAGGAAAAAGGGAAGGAAAAAAAGAAAGGAGGCACGGAGGAAGGAAGATTGAGGGAGGAAGGGAGGAAAGAAGGAACGTAGGGAGGAAGAAAAAGAGGACACAAAGGAAAGGAAGAACAAATGTGTCCCCCAAGAATTCATCAAGCAAAATTAGAGAACAACAACCGAAAATGTGATTGATCTTTGTAAAACTCAGGGTGGCTATAAATAAGTCCTTGGATTGAAAAATAAAAGGTTATTTTGAAAAAAAATCTCCGTCCGAAATTTATGCCACCACTGAACTGAACACCTGACTAAATAATCTTGTATGGCTGTATTGTCCTCATCTGTGTTCAGGGTTTTCTCTTTATCTGACTTCATGAAACTGAAACCGTAAAAACACTGAAGACTAGGAAGCCTTCCTTTTATAAGAGTTGGTGTAATTTGGTCAAAGACATGTTGCTATGACAAAATTAAACACATTCTCTCTCTGTCTCTCTCTGTCTCTCTCTGTCTCTGTCTCTCTCTCTGTCTCTCTCTCTGTCTCTCTCTCTCTGTCTCTCTCTCTGTCTCTCTGTCTCTGTCTCTGTCTCTCTCTCTCTCTCTCTCTCTCCCCCTTCCTCCCTCCTTCTCTCCCTCTCTCCCTCTCTCCAGGGCTGTCCTGAGACTTGCTCTGTAGACCAGGTTGGCCTCAAACTCAGAATCCCCTGTCTCTGCCTCCTTAGTATTGGGATTAAATGAGTATGCCACCATCATCCATCTTCCTACTATTTTTAAATATTGGTTGTAATTATCCGAGAATAATTTTGTGTCCCTTAGGTTTTCTTTGTATTCATCTTTTAAAGGGGCCGTGTTTCTCTTCCCTTGCGTGCAAACCCTTTCTTGCACATCTGCAGGCCCTTTTTCTGCCCCTGTTTAAATTAATTTTCTTCTAGTCATCTCATAGCCAGTTTAACAATGTGGTGGTTGATGAGTGTGTATAAGAAGTAAATGTGAGATTGTCCTAGTTTGCTGGAAGTGAGGTATAGACATGCAGAAGCTATGGAAAGCTTGGGTCACAGTTTTAATTGTTGCTTCCAGAATGATAAGAGTATGTATATTTGGACCCTACATTTCTGTATTTTTAACTTTCCTGTAATAAAAAAAGAACTGCTAGCAAGGTACAGTGGCACATGCATGTAACCTCATTATCCAAAAGGTTAGACAGGAAGATGCTGAATCCACCTGGGCCATACAGCCAGACCCAGCTCAAACAAGAGAAGACACTCATGATTTTAGTTAGGTGAAACATAAAAAGATCTCTGTCAGAAATGGATGTGGGAAGTGTTTTTTATTTAAATTATTATTCCATGTAAGCTAGTTATACCCTCATTCCTGGCTTAGCAATATTTTTATTGTTGTTCCTAGAAATAAATGATACTTAGGTTTTGTAGTTAATTTTCTATTATTTGGCATTTAGGTTATATCACCTTTTTACAGTTTTCTAAGAGCGTGCTACTTTTCCTCATCTGGGGAATAAGAAGCTTGGTTACACAGTCTGAGAGCTGTTGCTAGCCTACACAAGCGGACCTGTGGGAGAACTGCAGATGCAGTAACCATTCATGGACTTAGGAAGTTCCCACATTCAACATTTTCATGTGTGATGTCACATCCCATGCCGTTGCCTCCATGGAACATAGAGCTGTGATCTTCTGTGAGCCAGCTGAGGACAGAAGCTTCCAGAAAGTTGCATGGTGTTTATTTTAAGTAACAGCTCACACACACCAATAGGTCTCATACATCTAAACAGTGTTTCTACCACAAAGTAATTTTTTAATGCTTATCTCCCTCAAAATAACTTACAAAGGCATCAAGACTTTGGCTAAACACTTCTGTCTCATAATTAATGCTCATGTGAAATGTCTATGACTTAAGATTTTCATGTTCATGTCTAGTCTTCCATCAATGATGCTGCAGAGTTCAAAGTCGTAGCCGATGCCATGAAAGTAATCGGATTCAAACCTGAGGAGATTCAAACAGTTTATAAAATTTTGGCTGTTATTCTTCACTTGGTGAGTAAGGACTCTCAAAGTACATTGTATCCCTGTGGAAACTTAAACTTCTAGAAGATTTTGTTCCTTGTCAAAAATAATTTATTTTGTGAAAATTTTGCTTTGTATTCTGAAAACTGTACTCTGATTTTCTTCATCACTTTATAATTTGAGGAGTTTTCCAAGCCACTATAAGTTTGGAGAATGTGCTCAGTTCATTGTATTGTGATATCCTCAGACCTTGAACTCAGCACCAAGCCTACTGCTGATGGCTTCTGAAACAGATGGCTGCAAATGGCCTCCAAGGCACAGCCAACCCATCTGAGGCCAGCACATAGACCAGAATGACAAAAAGTATTCATAAATATGACTACTTAAAAATATAGACCCTTTATCAAAAATGTATGCTAAGATGAAAGGATTGTCACATGTATGGAAAAGAGGAAAAGAGAAGTGCTCGGCTTTCACGTGTGCATATTCAGGAAGGTAGGCGAAAGCAAGGGCAGTCTAATTCGTGATACATCAGAAGCTCACTGGAAATGGTGTCTTTTGTTTTCATCTTTTATATAGGGAAATTTAAAATTTATAGTAGATGGTGATACACCACTCATTGAGAATGGTAAGGTTGTGTCTGCCATAGCAGACTTGCTCTCTACTAAGACAGACATGGTGGAGAAAACCCTTCTTTACCGGACGGTGGCCACGGGCCGCGACATCATCGACAAACAGCACACTGAACAGGAAGCTAGCTACGGCAGAGACGCCTTTGCCAAGGTGAGACTGAACTTGATCCGTGGGTTGCAGCCTAAGTGAAATCCTGTGAGGATGTGTTCAGACATCCCTATCAGTGGGCTAAGGCCTTTTAGAAACTCAGACTTTCTGGCCATCACTTTCTCAATAAAGTTCCTGGCTGTGAGTATCACTGCTGGAAAAGCAAACTAGACCAACTGTGGGAACGAGAGAGTCGAAGCTTCTACCTCAGCAGGTCTGGCACCGCATTACCTCTCTGCCTCATGTCCTATCTTCAGCCACTTTTCCTTATTTCAACATATTCATCTTTTCTTAAGCCTCATGAGTCCTTCCCACCTTTCTGCTTCTATCCACAGGGCCTTTGCACGCGCTGTTTCTCTGCTTGGGTTGTTCTGCCCTTCCTATCTTGCTCTGTTTAGGCATCCTGCTGGCTCAGCCCAAGTGTCTCTTCTGAGAAGCTGTCTCTGGGTTGCCTGAGCACAGAATAAATTAAAGTCACTGTGGGTGCAGGGAGATGGAGAAATAGCTCGGCAGTTGAACACACATACTACTCTTGCATAGGACCCAAGTTCAATTCCCACCACCCATCTGGGCAGCTTAACAAACTACCTGTAAATCCAGCACTAGGAAACCAACACCTCTAAGGGTACCCACATACAGACACATATAATAACTTTTAAAATTCACCTCAGACACTGTGTGGTGTGTTCTTCACCCTAATGTTCTACTTCTCAGAAACTATGTCTGTGTACTTAGTGCTATATTTCCAATAAACTATATGTCTAAGTGCTCAGCAAATATTTGGTGAATGCAATGAATAAACTCCTGCGTTTCCATGGCCATTTACTCATAGCTCAAAATTGGTGGGATAGTTTTCAGGGATGAAAAGAGCAGGTGTATCACTGATATAAAAAGGCATGGACACATACCTGGAGAAGTCTTAAAATATGAACAGTAGCCAATAACCTATTTAAAAACCCAGATTGCTTGCTTTGACATACATCATGTAGCTGTTTCTGTAATAGTGATATACATTTCCAATTATTCCACTTAGGCGATAACACATGTGCTAAATAGTAAGAAGAGGGACTCATTCCCAAAAAGACAAGAATTTATGTTGTTCTTTTTCTCACAGGCAATATATGAGCGCCTTTTTTGTTGGATTGTTAGTCGCATCAATGACATTATTGAGGTCAAGAACTATGACACCACAATCCATGGGAAAAACACTGTTATTGGTGTTTTGGATATCTATGGCTTTGAAATCTTTGACAACAACAGGTAAACTGGGTAAGATGCTTAAAACCCTGTTGTTTATTTTTTTGGTATTTAAGCCTAACATATTCCATCTCGTGTAGCTTTGAACAATTCTGCATTAACTACTGCAATGAGAAACTGCAGCAGCTGTTTATTCAGCTGGTTCTGAAGCAGGAGCAAGAAGAGTATCAGCGGGAAGGCATCCCTTGGAAACATGTGAGTGCCCTTATGGGGAGTGTATCCCTGCGTTGTCCACCTGGCATTCCTCTTGACCTTGGGTTCTTGAACTACCTGGACCGCTTCCTTCCTCCTTGAGATGTACTAGTCAGTCATGCTAGCCCAGTGGGTGCAATTCCTCTAATCTGATACCCTGCCTTGTTGATGCCCAGGACATGCTCAGTACAGCCTTATGCCTTACATTAGCTGTATAGATTATGCTACATGACTCCCTGGCTGATTTTTGTTTGTTTGTTTTTTCAATTAGAGTCTATCACCACTGGAGTTCACTCTTTAGACCTAAATTAAGTGAACTTACTTCTAGACCCAATTGTTCTTCTCTTCCTTGTGTCCTCTACTCTGTGAACTAAGTGGCAATGAACTGCTCTCAGCTGTTGACAATCCCATTCTCTGAAGCCTGTGCATTGGAATGCTGGAACACTTGTATTCCTGTACAGTTCCACCTTCTTTCTTTTGCTGTCACCTCTCTTCTGGTGGCTCTTTGTGAGCATTTATAACTGTCAGAGGCAAACTCTGCCAATAAGATATAGCTAGAAAGTGACACTGGCCTGGGCAGAGTTCACAGCTGAAAGGCTGGCTCCCTGGGCTTTCCTGTTCTTTGCCAGCAGACCACCTGCTCCTGAGACTTAGTCATTCTGCTTGGACATTTGTATTTTTAAAACAATTTTGGGAGTAGGCTTTTAAAAACTGGTTTTCTATAACTTTCTGGTATTTTCTTGTAGTTGTTTGTTTTTATTTTTGTGAGATTTTGTAATTTGTTTTGGGTTCTTTTGTTTTGTTTTTGGGGTTTTTTTTGGTTTTTTTTTTTTTGAGGCATAGTCTGATGTTTCCCAGGCTAGCCAAGAACCTGCTGTGAAACCAAGAATGACCTTGTGCTCCTAATTCTACCTCCACCTTTTAGGTACTGGGATTATAGGCTTTCACTGCCATGCCTGGTTGCTGAGTTTATAAAATTATTTGTACTCTCACCACACAATAAAAATCAAGCCGGTATTTGTTATTTGATATCAAACATAGTAGCAGTAAAAAATATTTGAAATATCATATTAAAGTTATTTTCATATTCATACCTTCCTAACTTCTATTTCTACTTACTCATTTTAAAAAGAAAGTGGTACAATAAATAGCATTTCTGCCTCAAATTGCATCTTTGCCTCTTCCATCATGTGTTAAATATTAGAATGCCATAAAATTTCATTTAACATATTAGGCTAAATTTTATGTATTTAAAATAAGTCAGAGTTGTCAGTTTTATTATTAAAAAAAGAACTGCCTGTTGTTTGATTTAAGCAATGACCTCTCATAGCTATTTAAAATGTAACTCAAGCTACTCTGTAGTGCTGCACGCCTTTAATCCCAGTACTAGGGAGGCGGAGGCAGGCAGATCTCTGAGTTCAAGATCAACCTGATCTACAAAGTTAATTCCAGCAAGTCAGGGATACACAGGGAAATAAATAAATAGATAAATAAATAGCATATAACACAAAAGACTAGACATGGAGCTGAAAGCCACAGCAAACAACTGGTATAGGCCTGTAGACATGAAAGCCTGAAGCTGGAGTTCACAAGACACATTCGTGTTCTGCTGTGAGTCTCTAGAGCTTTCAAGAGGTAATGGAGGCGATGCTTAGTTAGGTGCCTCTGACATGAGATGGGACACATCAGCACACAGTACAGAAATGTTTGCTCATGAGTGACTCACCTTTGTGACATACAGCTTGCCTGAGAGAGGCCTGTGAAGGCTGTTTCTATGCAGTCCATCAGAGCAAGAAGGTGGTAGTAGATTTCTGTCTACATCTTATATACACTGAAGTTGCTAAAAGGTCAAAGTTCTTAATTTAATTTGTTTCTTGGAAGCAAATGGAAAGCTTATTTTTACCTTTTATATATACTTAGGTGTCAATTAATTTTTGAAAATTATTATTCCCAGAAAAGTTTCAAAAGTGTTAGATTCATATGCTTTCTAACTTTGGGGAAACTAGAGGAAATTCTCTTTTGGATTTTTGTCAATGCATGTCACATGAGTAGAACGGCAGAGTCTGTGGAGTGCTTTAACTTCATTAACATAAGAACATCAAATGATTTTTCAGGTTATCTGCTGACATTAGTGGAAACTGTTTCATGATTAATGGCAAACAGATTAGGGACTTTCAGAATGAAGGAGTGGGGTTGGGTATAGGAGTGGGAGACAGGAAGGACTAAGACAAGAATTAATCACATTTGCCTTAGTCTGTAGTCATCCCTGGTGCTTCCTATATGGCATAAGGAGAATGCAGACAGTAAGTCAGGAACCTCTTTTAAAATATGTGCTCATCTGGACTTGGCCTCACTAATGCTGTCTGCCTTTTAGACAACAAAGTGCTACACAAGTTTGTGAAATGAAAAGAGACACCTGTGTGTCTTGCCCATCGAGGTTCCCAGTTCTCTTGGGCATTGCTTTCTTGCTTGTCCTGCAGATTGATTACTTCAACAACCAGATCATTGTGGACCTTGTGGAGCAGCAGCACAAGGGCATCATTGCAATCCTGGATGACGCTTGTATGAATGTTGGCAAAGTCACCGATGGAATGTTCCTTGAGGCTCTCAACACTAAATTGGGCAAACACGGTCATTTTTCCAGCCGAAAGGTAATAATGTGCTATAAAATTTTTGTTTGTTGTGGACCCCAGACTGATAACTGGGAAACCAGCATAGGACTGTCAGTGAGGAAGCCTGGGCAATCTATGGGGCCTCTGATAGTAAATCATTATTTATCCTTAGCACACGAATGTACTTTAGGAGCCCATTCCACATAGAGGGATACCCTCTCAGCCTAGACACACAGGGGAGGGCCTAGGCCCTGCTCCAAAGGATATGACAGACTTTGAAGATCCTTCATGGAAGGCTTCACCCTCCCTGGCAACAGAAAGGGGTTGGGATAGGAAGTTAGTGGGGGGCAGGGGAGAAGGGGAAGGAGAGGGAAGTGGTATTGACATGCAATACAAGCTTGATTCTAATTTAAATAAAAAATATATATAAAAGATTTTTGTTTGTTGTTTGACAGGGCAACATTGCTTTACATTAGGTTAAAAGAATGTATGCTGAAATAAGGGGGGAAAGGCATGAGTGTCTAGTAAATGATGTATTGCTATGGGTGAGTTCTGCTTCTCTGACAAAAATCATAGTATCCAGGAGAGGGCGCTACAGACTGTGGAATTTGCTAGATGCAGGAAAAATGAACAGGATTCTTTAGAAAGCATGATGTCATTTACAACCAATAGGTGCTGAGTCCTTGTTCATGTGCTAGAATTTTATGCCTGCATCCGATAATTCTGGCATAAGAAATTGCTTTTGTCCTTGACTTTTCACTGTAATCCTCATTTACAAAATACAGAGTGTGCTCTGCATTTTTTAGACCCTGTGACTTGCCTAAAAGTGTGAAATCTTAACTGCAGTCCCTGTTATTGGAGAAATGCATTCTTTCAGTATATTGGATATCCTTCCAACTCTCTATTTTTACAATCTAGAAATGTCACAAATAAAACACATTTGTATAATTGGTGGAAGTTATGGTTATCAGATTTTTGTTCTAGACCTTATATGCAGAATGTTTGTTTGTCACTCATGTTTGTTTAGGTGTCATCACCCCAGTCTTCCCCACAAATGCAAGCTTGTCTAGTAGTAATCAGACACTGCCAGGAAAGCAGGCCCTGTTCCTTAACGTCCAGAAAGAAATGGGCAGGCACTTCTGTTTCTCTGTAAATCTGTGACACATTGCCACTGTCTCATGAATAAATCTACTTCCTAACTATGTCCCCTTTGGAGTTATGTAATCTGAACAGAGAAATTTCACAATTAACTAGAGAAGCTAATAATATAAGAATATAATAATAATTATTATTTTACTTTATATATATGAGTATTTGGCCTGCATGTATGTGCACCATGTACATGCAATGTCCTCAAAGGCCAGGAGAAGGTATCAGATACCATTGGGCTGGAATTATAGCCAGTGTAAGCTTCTATGTGGGTGCTGGGACTTGAAACAAGGTCCTCTGCAAAAGCAGTCAGTGTTCTTAACCACTGAGCCATTTCTCCAGCCCCTCAAGCAGATACTTTTGAAACGTAATCTCTCTTACTCTCCAGCTTTTAAAAAAAATTGCATTAACTTTCACTTACTGATTTTTGTATTCATATTGTACATATACATGCATGCCTTGGCATGCATGTGGAAGTCAGAAGACAACTTGCAGGAGTTGGTTCTCTCCACCATGGAACTTCCAAGAATCTAACGCAGACTTGGTGTCAAGCACTTTTACCCACTGAGCCATCCCACTGGCCTTCTAGTTTATTTTTTGAGACAAGGTCTTTCACTAAGCCTGAACCTCTCAGCTAAACTGGCTGGCCAGCAAGCTTCAGGTAACCTCCTGTATCTTCCCTACCAGCACTGAGGCTACAGACATCAACTCCTGTGTGATTGCTGGAGATCCAAATCAAGTCCTCATGTTTGTGCAGCAAGAACTTCAGCAACTGAGTCATCTCCAGAGCTCCATTTTTTTAAAGAATTTTGCCTAATAAAGGAAAGAAGTTGCATAGTCAACTTTTTGTTAGATAATGCTATTGGGTTGTATGTAGCCAGGTATCATTGCTATTACTAATCTGGTAGTTACTGACTTATTAAATAAAAGATTGCTGACTTTTATTTGGGGATAAAAATCTTCCTTGTGCATTAAAGACACCAAGGAAAGGCAGTCACATGATCCAAGCAACCATAAAATACTTTAAAATAAAAAGCTAAGTAATGAGTATATAGTAAAATATATTTTTTGTGATTTGAGTCTTTTTCCTTCAAGAATTTCACAAATTAAAGGACTTTTCAAAAAGGGGGGGCATAGGCTAGAGAGAGGGCTGAACAATTAAGAGTGCACACTGGCCTTGCAGAGGCTCAGAGTTCAGTTCTTAACACTCATGTCAGGCAACACACGACTGCCTTAACTGTAGATCAGGACATCTGCAGCCCTCTTCTGACCTGTAATGGCACCTATACTCACAGTGAACAACTCTCATACACACACTTAAAAGTAGAGAACATCTGTGAGAGAGCAGGGGAGGATGTAATTTAGAGTCCTCTAAACTAGAGGCTTTGGTCTCATAATTCATTCAACTCTCCACTTTCTCAGATGAATAATTATTAAAAGAGACAGAGCAAACCTCCAATTTCCTGTAATTCTTCATTTGTGAAACTCTTAGACATTGTTCCTTTAGTATCTGAAGCCTACTGTACTGGATAGGGTTGTGGGCTGTGTGACATTAGCATCTAAGTGGCACTAGTATTACAATACTAAGTGGTATTGTTTAGATTTTTACCCATCTGCCTGTCTGGGCACTACTGTAGCAAAGAAAGTTGGAGGAAGCCATGAAGAAATCCAGGGCCATATAAATGTGCCATTTCTTAAGGTATCCTCTTCAATGACAAAGAGAGATGCAAGGCTACCCTTCCGTGAAGAGCACCTAAACTGAAGTTGGCTCAACAGGCAGACAAGCCAAGTCACTATGCACATGAAGACATTCCTTCCGGTTTCCTGGAGCCTTTCCAGGGCTACCATTTATTAGCAATGTGATATAGTGGCAACTGCCTGCCTCACTGAGTCTCTGTCTCCATGTGTGTGAGGGAGAACTGTGAAGTATATGAACCTTACAGATTGTAAGCCCTCAGTGTGGTCCTCCCAAGCAGAGCATGGAAGAGAAGAATTTAAGTGTCAGAAGACATTGCATGTGTGTTTCTCAGAGAGCCATATCCTTCCATTGTCTGGCTCCCCCACCTGCTAGGGACCATCCTTTACATCCAACTAAGTAAAGGGCATCATTCATCAACTTCTGACCACATTGGGAATGGAATAGGCACACTTCATATCCATTGTCCATACCTGTCCACTTGGCCAGCTGTGTGGTATGTGCTGTGTGGGTTTCTGTCAAAAGCCTTTACCTTGTTAGCCATGTATTTAATCAGATCCCAGGGAATGTGATTTTATTTAGATATCATGATTTGTGATGTTTGGTCATATTAAGTTGGAATGTATTTTTAGGAGTTGAAAATTCAAGTTTATGTCCTTCTTTATCTCTTAGACCTGTGCCTCAGATAAAATCCTGGAGTTTGATCGGGACTTTCGAATCCGGCATTATGCAGGTGATGTGGTGTGAGTATCTTACTCTGGTACCTAGCATGATGATTTGCATGCAGCCTTACTTTAGAAAATGGGACTGGAACACTGTTGGTTGTTTTTTTTTTCACCTGTGTGTGGCTTTATTTGGGGGGGCATTTTGTGGATGAGCATAATTTAGTCTCTTGATTTGAAAAAAATTGCAGTTTCATTTCTTCCTTGTTTCTCAGACATTTGGTTTAAACATATGTTGTGTGACCATGTATACTTCCCTGTGTGGTTGGAACTCAGCGAAAGGGGACCACTGTATCAATAAACCTTGGGAACATGTTAGAGTCTAGGGTAGACACATAGATATAATGGGTTCTGCCCATAAGAAGTCAGCAGGTTAGTGGTTACAAATAGATACATCTAAGTCACAGGAAAGGAAGAAAGGACTAGGCTGGAGAGGCAGATGGTGTTATGGAAGCAGTGAGGAGTCTGGAGAAGTCTTGCTGGAGGAAGCAGTGTGCAAGCAAGTTCAGCACCATAAGTGAAAGCCGGGAGACAACAGGGGGCTGGGGGGGGGGGCACGGACATGGACTGCAGGCAAAAGAAGTTTTACTATATTATTGTCAGGTAGTGTTTGAGAAATAAAATTCTTACAAGCTGCATTTTTTATTGTCTTACAATTGACATGAAAATACCAAGCAGTGTAAAAACTACCTTGGTATGCTAGGTGTCAGTGCTCCTGTAATAAACAATCACAAACCAATAACTTAAAACAACATCTGCATTGGCTGGGGTGTAGCTTAGTGCTAAAATACTAGCCCGGCATAGGTGAAGCTCCTAGCACCACAAAATCAAATACAGAAGCAGAAGTTTGTGCTTTCAGTAGTCTCATAATTCAGGGAGCAGGAAGTTCAAAATCAGGCGATGGCAGAATCCCACCTTTTCTGGGGGCTTCTCTTAGGGATAATCTGTCCTTTTCTCACCTTTTGATGCTATGGGCATTCCTTGGCTTGTAGCTCTACCCTTATGACTGCCTCCTTGGTACATTTCTCCATTCTGAGGGTCAGCCCCCTGCCTCTGTTTTAACAGAATTTGGTGCCGTTTCTGCTCCCCATCCCAGTCTTCTGTTGGATTATTTCCTTCTTTCAGGACCTTTAACACAGTCACATCCCTTTACCACAGAAGATAGCATTCCCAGGTTCCAGGAAGGCTGATGTGGTTGTCAGATGTTATAGGTCACTTTCAGCTGCTGTATTTGTTATGCATTCACTCTTCATTGAGCCCTGTTCCTTATCTTAATGTTTAAAGAGTTCTACCTCTTTCTGTATTTATTATCTTAGGGATTCTTCCCACATAACCCATTACAAGTAGAGATTAATCAGGACAAAAGCGAGTGATTGTATTTATAAATGCTGAAAAGATGTTTGAAGAAACTTTAATGTCTACTTCTGACTAAATTAAAATTCTATAATCATAAAATAATATGGCTCAAAATTACTACCCTCTGTCAAACTAGTCATCATTGCAAGATGTCACCATTTCCCACCGTTAGGTTCTGTACCCAGATTCTAGAGTACTTAGTAGAAAAGTACTTAGTAGATGCCTCCCACTAAAATAAGCCCGAACCTCACTTACAGGCTGTTGTCTGACAATCAGGGTGATGTGAATGCAGAGCTGGACAGAGGCCTATGCCCCCAAGTCCACCTGTTTTACAGAGGAATCAGCTTCTACAGAGTGAGCAGACATCTGATCCAAAGCCTCATAACATGTTTATGGGAGAACTGAAGCAGCAACTAGGTTTCCAGGCTCCTGGTCCAGAGTCCCAGCTGGCATTCACTTTAGCCTTTCAGTCCTCGTCTGGGTTTTTATAGATTACCTTCTATATGTACAATACTTTATAGAACATGGTCTCTCTCTCTCTCTCTCTCTCTCTCTCTCTCTCTCTCTCACACACACACATACACGTAGTTAAATGTATATTTAATCATATACATACATCTATATATACACACACATGTGCATATACATGTGTGTGCATAAGAAAAGATGGTTATAATAATCGCCATATGAGTCATAGCAAGTGTTGTGACAAACTCTGAATAAGAAAACACTATAATATTTTTAGGTGTTGTGGTAAGCCCCAGGAGGCTGATGCTGCTGGGCTCGGGTGCTAGGAATTATTTTTATAGGAAGAAGTGGGAAGGGTGGTGAAAAAATATTCAGGAAGTAGCAGGGGTGTATCCTTTCTATAGTACAGATTAGAAATGCCTGCAAAAGTAAACTGAGATCAAATCACAGTGAGACTTGAACACTATACTGTGGTCTTTGACATTCAGTTTGTGTGGGTCTAACAATAGATTAAGAGTAGGGTGATTTCAAATGTTCAGTTAAATGTCAGGGTGGTATTGGGAAGAAGACCTGGATTAGGCAGTCAACAAAATAATTTTTGATGTGGTGACCTTAAAATCCCTGTGAACAGCACATCTGGAATATTTTGTTTTTGCAAAATTAAATATGTAGAATAAAAGATTAGAGTAAGAAGCCTGAGAAGTGTTGATATGATTGTCAAAAAGAAAATGGAGACAGGCAAGAGAGCAAAACTGCTAAGGAGAGGCTGCATGCAGTTACTGTTTGCACAGTCACCTAGCCCGCACTTACTCTCCCAGAACCCCACTTACTCTTTTACCCCAGCACGGAGTGAATCCCCATAGAGGCCTCTCCAGTTACTGCAGCAGTACAATTCCCCTGCCTTGTGCCCTTGCACCAACTGCCATCTTTTTTCAAAGCCTTATTTTCCGCCTTTCTCCAGACTGTGAATAGTGGGCTTGTTTCACTGTGATGCTCCTGCATGTGCCTGCTTCCAGCCCTTTATTCTTCCTGTTGACCCACATGATCCTTTTCTCCTGCTTATCCACTTCTTACCATCCTTTGCAGTTCTCCTTGGACTCTTTATACCCTGCACACTGAGTGGGTACTTAGGCAAGCCACTTGACTTCCCCACGGATGAGACAATTAGTTCCTGTATGTTGCTGTTTTGCTTTTATCTTAGGCATGCTGGATGATAGATACAACTATCTATTTTGAAGTCATCTTCTTGAGGTAAGCAATATCCAGTAGAAAATGATGTTTCTACTCAGTATGATGGGACTAGTGTCCACTTTCTTTGTGAAGGTGAGAAGCAGAGTCATTTTTATTTAGTGTGCAAAGTTTGTGGCCTTTACCTCAGAGCTAAGTGGACTGGCTTTTAGAAGTTTGATTGCAAAACTGATAGCAGAAAAGCCTGTGAACTAGAGAAGCTCGAATGTGGTCCACATGGTAATGATACATGCATTCTGTTTTCTCTCCAGCTATTCTGCCATTGGATTTATTGACAAAAATAAAGATACTTTATTTCAAGATTTCAAACGTCTCATGTATAACAGGTATGATTATTACTTTTACCTTAAATTCTTTGACATACATTGCATAGTATATGTGTATGTACATGATCACTTTTATGTGACAATTTTAAGAGTTTTAGCAGCTTTTCTGCATGCTTAATGAATGAAAATGTATATGACCTCAGGATTATAAAATCTGTAGACTTGGTACAGGGGCCACTACCAGTAAGATTTGCCTTAATTCTCCTTGAATTGTTTCTCTTTTCACTGCCACCAACCTTCTAGCACCCTATACCAATGTGCTCAGTGATTCCCAAGCCAGGCCAGAGGTGACAAGTATCAAGAAACCTCTAGTGTACCTAAAACTGTTCAAACACAAATCCCACTGCAGGGTTTTGCCCCCAGGTATGAGCCACTCTGTTGTCAGACTAGCACCTAGCATCAATGAGGCCTGGTCCTCACTGGGCTGGAGACGTTCCTCACAAACCACCCAAAGACAAAAATCTATATAGAACAAAGACAGGCAAGGGATGGAACTTTAAACCCAGTATGGAGAGAAGGTTCAGGAGGACAGAAGACGCTTCTTGGCCATTGGAGAACTTTTTCACCCATTTAGGTCTAAGTATTTCCTCAGCAGACTACAAAAGTACATTATACACTCTTCAGCCACATACTCTTTCCATACTCTGAGATACAGCTGAGAAACCAGTTTAGAAAATGTTTTTTTCTAATAGTAAATAAACTAACTTTCAGAAAAAGTAGGTGAGAGGTTAAGAGTAGAAGTGTAAGAGAAGCATTAAAAATAGGATGGCCAGGAAAGTACCCCTACTAGATCAGCACCCATCAGATACACACATGAAGTGAGGGAGGGGACCACACTGCTATCTGGAGGAAGAGTATTTCAGGCAGAGAGAACAGGTGGACCAAGGCCCCAAGGGAGGATTCAGCTTGAGAGTATTGACAGCAGGAAGGACACCAAGGACGCTGTATGCTTAAAAAAGGAGGGGGGGAGATGGGGAGAATGGCAAGGTGTGAATTTAGAGAACTGAGCAGGACCAAAACCATAGTCTGTGAGCCAACATAAGGACCAAAGTATGAACATGGGAAGCCATGAAAAGCATGATGTGGTGTGATTTTTACTAAAGATATCACTAGTGCCACTATGTAAAAAGTTGTCATGAGTGAGAGTGGAATTAGGGAGACCAACTGAGGTTGACTTAGCAGTGACAGAGAGGTTGAAAGGGGTCATTCCAGGTAATATTTAGAAAGGAGAGTTAAAATATGAGTTAATTGACAGCCAGAACTCAAATATGATGCTGGAGCCTTATGTGGGAAGACAAGATAAGTTTTAATGTAGTAGGTTGAAGTACATATTGTATACAAGTAAAAATGTCAAATAGGCTACTGCAAAATTGCATCTGCATCTCCAGGAAGATGGGACTACAGGTACCTATTCATGATGTCAGTGTTTTTATTTTATTTAATACCATGAGGCTGGAAGAGTTATCCAAGGATCGGGTAGGATTTTAACAATAACAGTAATAGAACAGGGCAAAAATAATTAATCCCCAAATGGTCCAGCATTTAGTCCAAACAACCTAGCAAAGAAACACTGAGGGCACCTTATGAGATAGAAGGAAAAGCAAGAAATCCAGTGTCACAGAGGTCCAATGGGAGGCATGTACTTTAAGGTTAAAAAAAAAGTGGGGCTCAGTAGTTAAGAGCACTTGCTGCTTTTGCAGAAGACCCACATCAGACCCACAGCTCACAACTGATTCCAAGGGATCCGATGCCTTCTCTGAACCTACAGAAACACTGAATGCATTAGATGTATATGCATTCAGACACATACACATGAAATAAATAAATCTTTTTAAGACAGAAGAAAAAAGTGATAAACTATATCAAATAAAAAACAGGAATGGTGCCAAGATTGGGATAATTCATGGGACTCTTAAAAATAACTGATTTCTAGGCAGTGATAAAAATAAATGTCTGACTGACATGGGCTTGAGAGAAAATAGAAAAAGAAAAGATGGACACAAGATATTTAAACAATTCTCTCAAGATCTTATGCTCTAAAATGACTTGTCTGTGGATGCTGACGCCTCCAAGAATGAGGATGGGTCTGTCAGCAGTAGAAAGTTATAGAGACATTGAAATAGGAAAGGAAGTCCACACAAGAGCTGGGCATGGGAGAAAGTGGCTTTCAGAAAAGAGATTCAGTGTTCAGTTTATCAAGTAATATGCACCCATTTGAAGAACAAATGTCAGAATCTCTCATTTCTCTTTGTAAAAAATGTTAAATTGGAAAAAATAACCACATTTGACCAGTGGCAATGTCACAGTGTATTGTCAAACTTGTGTCCAAAAATGAACACAAAGTGGAATTTGTTACATTTGTGCAATTATCGTGGCGAAGAGAATCAGTTGACAGAGCACCACTGCTCAGAAGCAGACTAATATAGCCTAGGAGCACAGGACCAGGATAGAAATTAAGTAACACATGTGTATAGTTCCTAAAGTATCCAATAGTCACATAGAGTGCACTACTTGCACTGGTATAACAGGCTGTTTTCTCTATTGGAAAAACCTGCATGGGAAGCCAAATAGCAGTGGAAACTTGCTTACTAATTGACAATGAAAAATATTACCCACAGAAGCCAGTCTGTTTGGTGCTGGGTAAGCACAGAGTTAGAACAAAGTAATTTAGATAAAACTAACAGTTAATGGTACTGGGCTGGGGCAAGGTGAATCTATTTTATCATCTTCCAAAGCAGTAAAAAGATTAAATGTCTGCTCACTGTTGCTTACTGCATATGTCTTTGTAATGGGGAAGACCTTGCAGTGTGATGGCATTTAGATGAGACATCTTTACTGATGAACAAACACTTCTTGATGTTTCTATGGCTGACCAACTTCTCAAAATTTGAATGCATCCTTTCTTTGTATAGGTTAATATAACTCTTGGGTCACTAGGGGTTTTTGTTTGTTTGGTTTGGTTTTTTTTGGTTTTTCAAGACAGGGTTTCTCTGTGTAACCTTGGCTGTCCTGGATCTCACTCTGTAGGATCTCTAGTTCTAGAGCCCAACAATTGCACCTACACACAGGAATGATGTGTGTGTTCACTTATGTGCACACGGTCTGTAAATGGAAGAATGAGGTAGGTAGGTGGCCTGCCAAGTGCATGAACTTTTATTCATTCTCTTGCTCAGCCAAGATCTTCCTTACCTTTTATAGATGCTGGGTTTCTTGTTTTGTTTCTCTCTCTTTTTAAAAAAAAATTAGATTCTATGGTTTAGAAAGCTAGCTGCTCTTCCAGAGGACCCTAGTTCAGTTCTCAGCATCCATGGTAGCTCACAACTGCCTGTAACTCTAGTTCCAAAGGATATTGCACCCTCTTCTGACTTCTACTGACATCTGCACACGTGTAACACATACACTCACACAGGCACACACATAGTCACATAAATAAAAGTAAATCCCAGCACTCAGGAGGCAGAGGCAGGAGGATCTCTGTGAGTTCAAGGCCAGCCTGGTCTATAGAGCGAGTTCCAGGACAGCCTCCAAAACAATACAGAGAAACCCTGTCTTGAAAAACCAAAAATAAAAAATAAAAAAATAAAAATAAATCTAAAAGAGAAAAGAAAAATATCCAAGCATTAAGATATCTAAAAAAAAATCTTGATAATATTGTATTCATGACTTTCTGGACTGAAAATTCTTCTTTAAAATGACTCTATTTAAATTCTTTTATATCAATTCTAATGTGATATATAATCTATTATCAGTCTTCTTCCTTCCCTCCACTTACAACATAATAGGAGAATAGTTTCCAGTTACAGCCAACAGTGGATAAGATAGAGGAAGAATTTGGAATAGAAACTGCACAGATACAAACAACAGCGATTCTCTCTTTTTTTTTTGGCACATGTAACAATTCTCAAAGTACACACAACACAGTTTTCTGCCTCTGAGAGTTCTATTTAAAAGGTGTTTGAAAGACTTTGTAGAAACCCTGTATACCATAAGTAAAGGGTCATCACTTCTCTGCTAAAAGGAAGGAAAACTATGCTTTTATGTGGCCATTTTTATAAGGGTATGACTGGAACTGATGGAATAGAACGTACAGTGGTCAGACTGTCCACAAACCAAAGAGCTTCCTGTTGTTTTCTTGACTCTTTTGATAGTAGTTAGTCCTACACAGTGGTTTGATTAAAAGTGTTGTCCTGTCTGGGCTCGCAGAACCCTATCTCCACCTCTGCCCTCTGGCGGCATTCATTCCTCCATTTCACAGTGATCACTTTGAGCAAGTGTGAGACAGAAATTCACTGCACACTTTCGGGAACCAATTCAGTTTTCCACAAGGGAAAGGAAAGTGGGCATAATGATGGAGGAATAAGCACAATCAGTAATGAATTCCTGTGTTAGTTATTGTCATGTTCTAATCCCACATTTGTAAGAAAAAATTCTGTCAAGACAAAAGTTCTCCCAATGAAGCAGCATTTCCAGTTCCAACTACTATAACATGCAAAGCAACCAAAATGAATCAGGAAGAAAATCACAGCCAAGGCACTACACACTTTTGATGAGAAAATATCTCTACAGAGATAAATAACAAATCTGCAGTTTCAACATGGAATTGGTCTGAAGTGCATTTTTAGAATTGGATCATGGTAGCCCTAGTGTGATGTCAATATAATGCTGGAACCACTAGCACTACTTGTGAATGTGTTCATAAATCCAGCTCTAGTAGCCAGCTTTGCTAGGAGACTATCAGAACTATTATTCCATTGTACCTAGTTTTGTATTTGTTACCTATTAGAAGATGTTCTCACTTTCCTGTTATCTGCCATGACACAGAGAACCATTTTCCTGATAGTGATTTGTCTTTAGTTTTTAGCCATTATAAAATCTGCATTTTACAGATATATATGTATGCATTTATATAAAATAAGATGTACGTATGTATATATATTGTAAGAACCACATTAACTATGCAAGAGATCTATATAGTAATTTAATGGATGTCACTTTAAAGAACTTCAAAGAATTTTTTAAAATGCTACAGTTTGGAAATTTTCTGTGGTCATTATATAATAATAGCTTTCTGGATGCAGCAGTTTTTCCAGTTAGGCTTTGTGAATTCCATCTGCAGTACACTGTGATTCCCAGGACACGGCTTGACAGGAGTGACTGGCCTTTTTTATTCACCTTATTTAATGCAGCAATGAACCATTCTTCCTGTGTTTCTCAGTTCAAATCCTGTGCTGAAAAATATGTGGCCCGAAGGCAAACTGAGCATTACAGAAGTGACCAAGCGACCTCTGACCGCTGCCACCTTATTTAAGAATTCTATGATTGCCTTAGTAGACAACCTTGCTTCAAAGGTAATTATTTTATTCTCTAAAAGTCCCTTATAATTCGTAGCTTCCCTCTTGACATACAGTGTTGCAAATGCATGTGTGATTTACTTTTTAGGTAATTATTCTTAAGTTGAACAGTATATATTCAAAATGAACAATAGAATTTTTATTCCTACTTTTTAAAAAGTGAGTAAAATAATTGTTTATATCCCAGATGAATTCCTTTCTCAAATTCAAACTTTTTACTCTACCGTTAAGGTCAAGCGGGAAACTGCCATCGGGGTTTCAACTATATGTATGATATAAACCATGCCTGGAAAAATAAACTGAATCCTGTGCTGGAAGACAGAGCATGGCCAGAGAAGGGAGGGAATGGAGTCAGAAACAGTTGGATGTAACTATAATCATGGGCCATCCATTCATGTGTTATGTTTGAATAGCAAGTGCCCAGAAGGGGTTTAAACAAGAATTTAGCTTATAAATCTTATCTTCACATTGCTTTAAATGGTTAGACTACACAAATGATTAATGACAATTATTTCTAATTTTTGTTGCTACTTTGATTCTAATGTCTGATAACTTGAGTCTGGCTATTTTTCCATTTTATTTTTAAGTATGGGTTTTATTTTCCTCTCCCTTAAAGAACAGATTTCTGCTCCTAACGGCTCTGTTGACAGGTTTGATAAATTAGCAGCATTCTGGGACTTACTATTTTAGTTCTTTCCTTTATATCTTGCTCTTCTGGTAATTTTATTGTATGTTTTTTCTCTGTTATTATCTTTTTTTAAAAAATCCATTTTCCTTCTAAAAGAATTAATTTGCTTGTATACTTTAGCATGGTTACATTAGGCAAATGCCAAAAGTACACATCTATTCAGTAGCTTTCTATCTCTTACCATCGTCAATCCTTAGCCTCAAATGGCAGCACATAAGCACAGTCCATCCTCTTGTATAATTACATTTCCAGAAACATGGGACCTAACGGCTAGAATGCCATCATCATCTCTGGCTCTCTCATTTCTACTTTTCTCTTTATATCATCTTTATCCTGCTGCATCCAGTTAGGAAGAGAGTGAACCTAGAAGAAAAGCATGCAACACAGGAGAGAGCTGACTGCTTTGTGGAGGATATTTACTCCTTTAACTAGTGAAAGAATCATAATTTTCAAAAACTGATAAATACATATCTGTAATCTTGGGAGGATTGCAACTGTAAGGCCTGCTTACACTGAACAGAAAGTTCTAGGCCGAACTTGGCTACAAAGTGAAACCCTGTCTCAAACCCAGGAACTATGAGAACCAAATTCCAACCTTTTTTAATACATCAAAACAACTCTATACCCAAGGAATAGAAAATATATATTCCTTTCGAGTGTAAATGGGACACTTTGCAAGAATTGACCACATGCAAGACCACAATGATGTAACTATTTTGAAAGAATATATATATACAGATACATTCTCCATCCTCAAAGCAAGTTACTTTAATATGCTTGAAAACTCTAAAAATAAAATACTTTCCTAAATAAGTCACAGATTTAAGAGGATATCACAGTGAAAATTATAAAATATTTGAGACTACTTAACAAAGAACTTGTCAACATTTGTAGGATGCTATTAAAGTGAGCCATTTGGTATGCCTTTTAAAACAACAAAGTTGCTAAGAGGAGGTAAGTGCAACTCAAAGAGCCAGAAGAGAAACTCAAAAGAAAACCTAAAGAGAGAAGAAAATAATGTTATACCAGAAATTAGCCATAATGGAGAAATAGAAAAACCAAGTAAATAGACAAAACCTCTAATAAAAACTGATTTAAAAAAAACAAAAATGGAATGATGAAAGGTTGTATAGGTCAGCATGTTATGAATAACTGGCTGCTAGCACATTTTAAATTTTAGTTTGCTAGGAACATGTCAAACTTGATTCAAGATGAAATAGAAAGTCAGAATAAAACAGTAACCTTGAGGATTCTGAATTACTACTAATCAGAAGTCTACTGCCCTCCACCTCCACCAAGAGCATCAGACTTGATGGTTTCACAGACACAGTTTATAAAACTAGTAATGTACAGCACCTGTCAACTGTTTCGGAGGTAAGAAAGACTGATACCCAACTCACTTTAACAAAGGACTCAGATAAAAGATCCTAAAAGCATGTATGAACATTGCTTTTCTTCTTGGCAGCATAGTAAATACAGTGCTTACTAAAGATACCTGAAACAATGCAATTATTATGTAAATTTTTTAAAAGTCAACTTTCTGAATGTAACCAGGAACTAGTAACATTAAGGAATCTATGTAAATATAGAAATCAACTAAGTGGAAGCACAGCCTTAAAGCTGCCTTTCACCTGGGAGGTTTGCTGAAATGTCTAGCTCTGATGGTTACTCAGCATTCAGGTCTGAGTCCTTGGACTGAAATCTTGGACTTACCCAAAGGAGAGTGATCACACACACACACACACACACACACACACACACACACACACACACACACACACACACCTTCAAAGACTTAACATCCCCAAGAGGCCACATCTAGAATGAATTAGAAATAACCTTCCATTGTCTATAAGGAAATTGCCTATCTTGGTCTTTGACTCCAAGCCAAAGGGTATCAAGTATTAGAAGGCAGTAAATCTTTCTTGAGATTATATAAGTATAAGTCAGCTTTGATGAGATTTGCAGCCCACATTCATACTACCTATGTAGGCTGAAAAAGCTTCAAGCCAGCAGTTTTTGGTAGTCCAGGTCTTGTATTACCCCAAGCTTCTGAAAGAAGCAAATACAATTATTTTCTTGAGGCTATCACCTTCATATCAGACCTCAAAGATTTTCCACAAAAAAGAAAAATAAATCCAAGGAACATAGTTGCTGCAGGGGCAGCGGAGTTCTCTGGAGAGATGGCTCAGCAATTTAGAGCATTTGTTGCTCTTCCAGAGGACCCAAGTTCAATTCTCAGCACCCACATGGTGACTCACAACCATGGGTAATTCCAGTTCCAGAGAATCTGACACTGTCTTCTGGCCCTCTGAGCACCAGACACACACGAGGTTCACATACATGCATTCAGGCAAAACACTTATAATAATAAAATAAAATAATCTTAAAAAAACAAAAATAATGAAAATTTTAAGTGACTTCAGGATGCCATGTACTAGAGTGATAATTAAACAAAAGGCCCAGATGAAAAGCCCTGAACTAGAACAGTCACAAATAGAATACACAGAAATAAAGCTAAACAAAAATTGTGAAAATAGTTTTTTTTAATATCTAGATTTACACTTAGAGAGAGCTATAAAACACTAAGATACAGGGAGATAATAAAAACACCTAACATGCATGTACTCAGGCATACAGGAGAGGACTAGTGGAGCAACACTTGGAGAAATTTGCCCTAGAATTCTAAAAGTATTGTAAGACACCACACGCCAGGCAATCCAGAAGCCAAGCAGACCCCCAAATTGGGAAAGTGAAAGGAAATCTGATGTGACACCTACTGACATCCAGAACATCAAAGAGAAAGCATCTTTGTGTTTGGTTTTACTGTTTGGGTGACAGGTCTTACTGTGACCTGGGCTGTCCTGGAGCTCTCTACAGCTCAGAATAATCTGGAACTCCTGATCTTCCTGTCACCAGCTCCCAAATTCAGGGATTACATATGAGTACCCCATACCTGGTCCAAAGACAAGTCTCTAAAAAAGATCCAAAGAAAAGATAGATTAGCTTAAAGAGAATAATAATCAGGCAGAGTGAAAATGGCTTAACTAAAGTTCAGTACCCAGAGAATGTCTTTTCCAAGAACAAAGATATAATAAGAACTCTGAAAAGGAGATTCTGAGTATTCACCACCATTCAAAGCTCACCAACAGCTTAGAGTCTGCACCAGGATCCAGAAGCAGCCTTGCAGCTGCACTCACTTCAAGCTAATGCCTTCTGATCTGGGCCAGAGGTCTTCCTACCACTTGATCAGTTGCATGTGGAAGAGGCCTACCCCACCCCTCCACCCCCATGTTTTCTCTAGTGTCTGTCTGTCAGGGTTTCATCAGGGAAGCTGGTGAGTACTACCTAGTCCGTTTCTCAGAAGTGGTACTCCATGGGGCATTTCTCCAGTGTTTCAAGTGTACTATCTTCTCTCTTCACATGGATTATCTTTGAAATACAAAGAATAGGTCCTACTTTATGTACATTTTGATAGCTTTGTAAAATGCTGCCAACAGATGGTCAGTAAGTTATTAAGTGAATTTGAATGTCTTGACTATCAATGTGCAAAGCAGATCAAATAGATGTATGTGTAAATGTATTACCTTCTAGGTAATGTGTGGACCATTTGGCATACTTTCAGAAATTATATTTTTCACATAAAACCTAGGGAGACAGGTGTAGAGAATGAGATCACTATGAACTCTGGCAATTTAGCCTTTATACAACACTGAATTTGTCAAATTTAGGATTGCTTAGGCTGAGTCAGTCTTGGTATTTATAAGTGAGAAAGGAGGTGGCATTTATAACCTGAGAGAACGATGATTAAATATAGAGAAAGTATTTCCACTAGATTCCTTATTCAGTAATTTACATCACTAAGCAAGCTGAAAGGGCTTTCCCACTTGCTGTTTGGTCAGTAGTGTCTCCTGGTATTTCTGCCTTCTGTATGCAATTGCTCAGTGCTGGTGCAATGTCCACTTATCTGTTCAGAAGTCTCAGTGATGCTTTACACTGACTGTTGTGTTCCCATAGCTCCATGTGTATTCAGTTCAAAGTATTTTCTAATTAACCTTATAATTTTGATCTCTGAATCATTCAGAAGTATATTTCTTAATTTTCAAGCATGAAGGTTTCCTAATTATCTCTATTGCCCTTGATGTCAAACTTCAGCATTTCACTAGAGGACATCCTCAGTGTGATTCCAGTCCTTAGAAATTTGTTAAATTTATTTTACATATATGTTTTGTTTGTATTAGAGATAGCTTATATTCAGTATTCTGTATAAGTCCTATTAGGTAAAGTTTGACTTTCATATTGTCCAACTTTACAGCATCTTTACTAATTTCTTTGTTGGGTTGAAAGGTGAGTTTGACTCTAACTTTATCTACCTCTCCTCATGTACCTCATGTACTTTTAGTCTTTGATTTAAATGTTTTGTTCCAATTGTCAGTTCGAAACATCCCTTTCTTTCCTTGTTGTTTTTAAGTCTGCTTTTCATGAATAATACAACTTTGCAGACTTCTCTTTTGACCAGTGTTTGTATCTTTTTTAGTATTTGAATATTTATTTCTTTATTTCATTGTCTCTGTGTACCTGAGTGTGTATATATATGTATGTGTGTATGTATATGTGTATATATGTGTTTGTGTGAATATATACATACATATGTGTGTACATATGAACATATGTATGTATATAAATTATTCTGTAGTACCAAGCCTTCCCCCGCAAGATGGGCTGAATGTTCAAGAACAATGAACCCAAATAGATACATCCTGGATGGAAATATGGAAGTCAAACTTGACCTACTAGGACTTTCACAGAATACTGAGCATAAGCTATCTTTAAATACAAACAAAGCATGCATGTAAGGTTAATTTTACAAATTTCTAAGGATCAGACTCATACTGAGGATGTCCTCTAGTGAAATGCTGAAGTTAGACATCAAGAACAACAGAGATATTGTGTATATGTGTGTGTGTGTGTGTGTGTGTGTGTGTCTGAGTGTGTGTGTAAGTATGGATGGATATACCACCTGCCTGCAGAATACCCAACGGAAGGATGAAAGGAGGAAAGACTTATTTGGGCTCATTGTTTTTGAAGATTCAGACCATCTTAGTGGGGAAGGCTTGGTACTACAGACTAGTTCACATCATGGAGAGTCAGAAACAGAGAGGAAAGGTGAATGCTGATGCTCAGCTGTCTTCCTCCCAAGTGCTGGGATTAAAGGACTGTACCACCACTGCCTGTCCATCAGTTATCTCTTGGTGCATAACAAATTACTCTGAATATAGTGTTTAAGAAAACCACAACTTATTATCCCTCATGATTCAGTGAGTTGGATGGGCAATTCTGCTGGGCTCAACAAGCAGAGATCAGTAAGCTAGGACTGGACAGTCTAAGATGATCTCACTTAAATGACTTGGTTAGATGATTGGATATCTTTATTCATGTAGTGTCTGGCTTGTCTAAAGAGGCAATGTCTATTATGGATACCTCTCTAGATGTCACTAGTGTCATTTCTGTGTATTGAATTATATTGGTAAAGCAAGTCACAAAGTCAGCCCTGATTCAAGGACACCTACCTCTTAGTTGTATATGCTACAGATGTCATGTCGTGTTTTTCACTTTCCCATCAATGACAAGATTAAAATAAAGACAGGTATGCTAGGCAGAATAATGGCATGACCTGGTAGCACCAACCCTGATACCTGCTAGGTATCTTGTAATCAAAGTCACTTCTGACACTACTAGCCAAATTTGCCTTCAAGTCCAACAAGTTAAAGGACAAGTTGCTAGTAAGACTAATTTTTATTTCATATGCCGTCTTCAAGTGAGGTCTCTTGGATACACTTCTGTATGACTTGGATACAGTTTTTGGAGTTCCTGAAGACCCTTATTTACATTTAATAATTTGTTATAATGATTCACTGAACTTAGAAATACTATCCCTATGATAAAAGTTTTATTATGAAGGATACAAACAGCCAGATGAAAGCATAAATAGGCTGGAAGTAAGGTCCAAGCACAGTGGCTTTCTGTCCTCAAGGAGTAAGGCTGTACCATTCACCCAATACATCATTACGTCCTCCAAGCCCAAGTGTTGTGTTTTTAATCAGGGTTTTGCCAATTAACTCATTGGCTGCATAATTTTCTCTTCATGCCTTTTATTATGCCATATTTATTTACTTTTGTTATTCCATAGATTTCAACTCCCCTACCCCTAGGATGACCATGGCCTAATTTAGGAATCCATGTGATTATGGTACACAGAAAAGGATAAATTAAGATCTTATTAGCAATCCCTAAAGTCAGATTATCCAAGGACATCCTTGTGGGTTCAATATATAATTACCAAGCCCTCTGATAGGGAAGAGAGTCAAGAAGCAGAGAGCTGGCATGAGAAGACTCAACTAGCCATTGCTGTATAGGAGACGGAGGGGAGGCCCAAGAATGTGGGCCTCTAAGAGCTGGATATGTTAGTCCAGCCTCACAGTTGTGACAAAATACCTGACATAACAACTTGAAAAGAAGCAAGCTTTATTTATGACAGAAAGCATGGTAGAGCAGAGCAGCTCATATCATGGCAGCCAGGAAGTAGAGTGCTATGGGTAGTGCCCTTTACTCAGACCAAGCCCCCAGCCTCTAAGGGTGTGCTGATCCCATTTCCCCTTTGTTAATCCTCCCCCTGAACACCCTCACAATGTGAAGAAATGCACTTTATAGTCTCCTAGATGCATCTCAGTCCAATCAAGTTAACAACCAAGACTTACCACCACACCAGAAAAGATGAACAAGCTATCTCCAAGGTCCCTGAAAGTAATAATTCTATAACACCCTGATGCTGGCTCACTGAAACCTATTTTGGACTTCTAACCTCCATAGCTGTGAGATAATAAAATTGTATTATTTTAAACCACTAAATTTGTCATAGTCTGCTACAACAACAACAGGAAGCAAATACAGCAGAATTGGCAAAAAGGAAGAAAACAGCAGCTTTGTTTTTTATGGTGTAGAGGGCATGATAAATATATAATAACAGCTTTCTTTTAGGTATTGGAAACTTATTTAATTGCAAATCAATTCATATTCCCCAAAACTTTCCTACTTCTTAAATCATTTGCTACCCTTTGTCATCTCAAGCCCTCCACAGTACTCAAAACTACATAATATAACTGCGTAGGACTCTATCTTAATTAAGGTGCATCTGTGTGTCTGATGGATAATGGATTCAGAGAAGAGAAAGACACTATTCTTACAAGTGGGATATATTTGACCTCTTCGATCCATCCAGTGATAATTTATTCATTATCCTCATTGTACCAGTATCTATGCAAAGCATGGCTTTATATTTAACAGGAGCTGTAATATAATGCCTGGTACAAAATGTAACTAGCATAGAGGGGAGAATTCTAGTGGGGACTCTTTCATAGACTTATTAATGCCTATAGATGGTTTTATAACATTTCTTGTCTAAGTCTGCAGTGAATACCATCATTGCTTATTTTATTTTTGTTTTTTAGGAACCATATTATGTACGTTGCATCAAACCAAATGACAAGAAGTCCCCACAGATATTTGATGATGAGCGCTGCCGCCATCAGGTGGAATACCTTGGACTATTGGAGAATGTGAGAGTACGCAGGGCAGGGTTTGCCTTCCGCCAGACCTATGAGAAGTTTCTTCACAGGTAAGGGTAGAATGTGCCTCAGAACCCAGTTGCACTCAGAATTACAATGATACAGCAGCCATGTTAGGCCATCTGCAAGCATCTATTAAGGAACAGAAGTCAAAGAAGCTTGTACATATGAGAAACTTCTCCAGAGTCTACAGAGTTCCTGAGTTTGTAGATTATAGATCCTGGAAGAGAGTTCAGTCGTTTTGATGGAAATGCACGGAGGGACACGATTTGGAGTCTTACATAGGACTCTACTGCAATACTTACTTCCCACTTGTTCCTAAGCCAGATGTTTACCTCTTTGATCTTATTTCTGCATCTATAAAATGAATATAAAAGCGTCATTGAATGGTTGTTGTGAGAATTAAGTAAAAGTCCAAATCCCCTGCCTATAATAGATATTCAGTAATACTATCACTACTGATACAGTAATTATCATCATTATAATTTAAGTGTGGAGGATCTGAAATTAACTGGTTTGAATATTGGATTTACCACTTTCTAGTTGTATGACTCTTTTCTGTGACTCAGTTTCCTTGTGTGTGAAATGAGGATGAAGTAGTAACTACCTTGAAGGGTGCTGGATAACTGGGATGAAGAATAAAAGGCACTGAGAATAGGAGCCATTCAGTGTGATATAGTACTGCTGTTGATTTAGGGCTGGTAATAACAGTGACACTTGGCAACTAGGAATTTAAAAATGTTTTCAATTTCGTCAGTTTAATTATTTTAAATGTCTATGAAACATTTCCCACATTCTGGACTTATATAGATTACACCCAAAAAAAAAGTGAGTAAGTACATACAACTTAAATCAGGGGCTGAAAAGGTTCTTCAGTGGTTAAGAGCACTTACTGGTCTCCCAGAGAACCTCAGTCATACTTCTAGCATCTATGGGTGTGGTAGTTTGAATAAGAGTGGCCCCCATAGGCTCATATATTTGAATGTTTAGGGGGTGGTTCTATTTGAAAGGATTAAGAGGTGTGGCTTTATTGGGATAGATGTGGCCTTGTTGGAGAAAGTGTGTCATTGTCAGTTGTTCCTGTCTACTTCAGTTCTCTTGATGACATGTGAGGCATGATCTTGAGTAAGGAAAAGTGATAGAGGAGGATAGATGGAAAGTAAGAAAGAACACTTCTTTTAGGGCAGCGGTTCTCAACCTTTCTAATGCTGTAAACCATTAATACAGTTCATCATTGTGGTGACCCCCAACAATAAAATTATTTCATTGCCACAATCATAGCTATAATTTTGCTACTGTTATGAATCTGATACAGAGACTCTAGGGATCTTGACCCACAGGTTGAGAGCTACTGTTTTATAGGGTGGAAACAAGTGGGTTTGTTCCATAGGTTTTGTCATCAGAAAGAAGAGGGCCTGTTGGAAATACAAGATTATAAACATGAGAAACTACCTAGTGTTGATGAGTTTTCTCCACAGCACTAATATTCAGCCATGTGTGTACAAGGGAGATCACACCAAGGAGATGTTTTGAGATGGAATGAATAAAACTTTATAGAATAATAGCCTGGAAAACTGGAGTTCAATTTTATAGTAATCAAAATTTGTGCTTAAAACTGATCCATTGTTCCTATTGAAATCACACAGATCTATAGGCTGTATGGCAGGAGTGTTTTCAGGAGTGGAAGTGTGTTCATTCTCAGTCTTGAGTGTCCAGTTCTTTCATTAGAAAGAGTTATAATCCATCTTTATTATTACACAGAAAATTTTAACAATTTATCTGTTACAGTGTTGTCATGTACAGAAAATCAGCAGAAGTTAGATATTAGAGTGTCATGAGAATGGTAACTATCAAAGGGGCCTGTGCTATCTTGAAGTACAATGGAAGCCATAAGAGTGGTTGAAGTAACCAAACAGTAAGCAAACTTGGCTTGAGGGGAAAAGGCATTCTGTGAATAGGGACCTTTACCTATTTACCTTTTGTCTTCTTTTGGACTTTTTAACTTTCAACTCAGAAGGTATTTATGTGTTCATCTGAGGCATGGAGAAATGCTAAGCTTAGAATACATTTTCTAATACTCAAATGAAAAAATAGAAAGATTTTTAAAAAAAAGAACATATGAGGGGCTGAGGAGGTAAATGAGGGGTAAAGTTTCTGCCATGCAAATGGGAGACCCTGAGTTCAGATACCTTGCACCCATGCAAAAGTGGGTACAGTGCATATATCTTTAACCCCAGTGCTGGAGAAGGATCAAAGATGGATCCCAGGGTCTCAATGTCCAGACAGTCTAGATGAAAATGGCAAGCCCCAGGTTCAGTAAGAGAGATCCTGTCTCAAAAAAATTAGAGAGGGATAAAGAGTGACATCCATCCCCCATGAACCTATAAATTTCCAACACAGTAGTCTTAGTGGCTCAAGATTAAATACCCCATTCCTACCACCAAACATCCTCAAATAGTGCAAAATGTGTGTGTGTGCATGTGTGTGTGTGTGTTGTTTAGTTTTTAATTGTCAACTTAATACAACCTAGAGTTACCTGGCAAGAAGGAGCCTCAGCTGAGGAATTGTCAGATCAGATTGTCCAGTTGGCACATCTGTGGGAGATTATTCCTTCATGGCTCTTGTTTCCAGGGTCCTGCCTTGAGTCCTGGCCCTGACTTCTCTCAATGATAGACTGTGACCTGGAATATAAACTGAAATGAATCCTTTCCTCTGCTAAATTGCTTTTGTCCATGGTGTTTATCACAGCAACAGAAAGCACACTAAACAATTTTTGAAATAGCAAATGCACAGCCAAGATAGGGAATCAAAAGAGAGAGAGAGAGAGAGAGAGAGAGAGAGAGAGAGAGAGAGAGAGAGAGAGAGAGAGAGAGAGAGAGAGAGAGAGATTCTCAGTGAACCTTAAAGATGTGTCTTACTCCTGAATGTGATATGAAGATGCAGAGGCAACCCAATGTCGAAGTTAAAAGCAAAGACAATCTAGTGAGGCTTGAGCTGCCTTTTAAAAAGCCATCCCATGCTAGGTGTAGAGATGTGCATTTGTTATCCCAGTGTTGGGAGGCTGAGGAATCAGGATTATCCATGACTGGCCCATAGAGTGAGTTAGAGACCAGCCTGAGCTACATAAAGAGACCTAAAGAGAGTGAGTGAGAATGAATGAATCCCAACTGTGTCAGTGTAGCTACATGGCTAGGAGGTTGGCATAATGACCAATACAAGTAGCCACATCTCTACCTGATGTAAGGAAAGCAAGGCCCATTTTAAGATCAGTACAAGAAGAAAAGACAGGATATTGACGAAGCACTAGTCACACAAACTGAAGAAATGACCAAATGCTGAAGAGATTTTAGGATACTTAAACTTTTCAAGAGAACCATAATAATAGTCAGTGAGTTTTAAAAAATGCTTTTCTGTGTACCAGGTACATTTCTAAAGCATTTTATATGTTTGTTTTAAGTTACTCAAGCTGGCAACCTTGGGAAACAATATCTTACCTCATTCTGTGTAGCTGAGGAGACTGAGGTGCTGCAAACATTATCTTTAACAAATAGGAAACGGGATATCCACTTGTAGGAGACTGCCTCCCATCCTATACTAAATCAATTCAAAGTGGATCAAAGAGCCAAATCTTTTAAGTTAGGCAACATACTACAGGATATAAAGATAAAGAGATGGCTCACTGGCGAAATGAAGACTGGGTTTGGCCCCCAGAACAAATGTAAAGCTGATTGTGGCAGTGTACTATGTCTGTACTCCCAATACTGTCAGTCAGTGGATTAGACAGGAAGGGTCCTGGGAGTTTGCTGGGAAGCCATTCTGGATAAACTAGCAAGCTCCAGGTTTACAAACTTCATTTTATTATTTTTAAAAATGTTTTTACTATTCTTATTCGTGTGTGTGTGTGTGTGTTTCTGTGTATGTGTCTGTATGTGTCTGTGCACTTAAGTGCAAGTGCATGAGTAGAAGAGGCCAGAGGCATCAAACCCTCTGGAATTGGAGTTACAGACAGTTGTGAGTAACAATATGGGTACTAGGTATTGAACTCAGGCTCTCTGGAAAAACAGTGCATACTTTTAACTGAGGATCCATCTCTCCAACCCTTGATAATTTTTTACTTTATTTATATGGATGTTTTGCCCACTGGTATATCTGTGTGCCACTTGCATGCCTGATACCCATTAAGAGCAGATGAGGGCACTGAATTGCTAAAACTATAGTTGCAAATGGTTGTGAGCCTTCAATGTGGGTGCTGGAAATTGAACCTGAACCCTCTAGAAAAGCAACCAGTGCTCTTAACCACTAAGTCATCTCCCTAGTCTCCAAGAGACCTTAATTTTAAAAACAAAAATATTATAGAAAACAATAAAGGAAGATACCCAACTTCAACCTCTGACTTCCACATATGCACACACTGGTGTGTGCACACATATCAAAAAAGGAAGATACTTATGACATAATCATAGGCAATGACTTTCTATGCATGAATCTAATATCCTTAGGAAATAATAGCAAAAATTGACATGGTAAGATATAAAATTAAAAAGGTTATATGAAGTAAAAGAAACAACAGGGAAGAGATAGCCTATAGAGTAAAAGAAAATATTTGTCAACTATTCATCAGACAGATCAACATCCAGAATATATTTTAAAACCAAGACATCAAAAAAATTACTAAATTGAATCACTCCATCCTGCCCCAATCTGATAGTTGTCCTCTATGAGCAAGGAGGTTCAAGATCATGCCGGGGAAACCCACAGAGACAGTTGACCCAATCTTGTGGGAGCTCAGACTCTAGACCAACAGCTGGGGATCCTTCATGGAACCCAACCAGGCCTTCTGCATGTGGGTGACAGTTTCGTAGCCTGGTCTGTTTGTGGGACCCCTGGCATTGGGAGCAGGATCTATCCCTAGTACATGAGTTGGCTTTTTTTAAGCCCATTCCTTATGGTGGGATGCCTTGCTAAACCTTGATTTGGGGATGGGGGTTGGTCCTGCCTCAATTGAATATGCCAAGCTTTGTTGACTCCCCGTGGGAGGCCTTACTCTTTCTGAGGAGTGGATGGGGATGGATTGGGGGAAAGTGAGAGGAGGGGAGTGAGAGGGAACTGTGGTCAGTATGTAAAATGAATAAAAATATATAAAAAATAAAACAAACTACAAATAGTGAGGATGTAGAAGAAAGGGAGCACTTATACATTGTGGTGGATGTATAAATTAGTACCAATATTAGGGGAATCAGAACCAAGTTTTCTTAAGAAACAAAATACAAGTACCATATGTTTCAGCTACACAATTCAGACATGTATACTCTGAGGAATCAGCAATATTCACAGAAAAAAAATGTTAGAGAGTCAGCCTAGCTGCCCATCAACAGGTGAATACATACAGAACATAGAGATACAGTGGGTTAGTAGTTGGCAACAAGGAAGAATGACACTATGTCATTTTCAGGAAATTGGATGGAGCTGCAGATGATTGTTTTGAGTGAAATAACCCAGACTCATAAAGGGAAATGTTTCCTGTTTTCTCTCATCTGGGGAACTTTGGAATGAGAAAAGATATGAAAGTAGAAGGAAAATCAGAAGAAAAAGGAGATGAGGAAGGGGTTTAAGGAAGGGAATGGGAAGGTGAACTGATCAAAGTATGCTGTATGCAATATGAAAGTATCTCAGTGAAACCCTTTATTTTATACTACTAATGTATATTAATTATAATTAATGTATTCTTATATAATTATACTACTAATGTGTTGCTTTAAATGGTTGAAATAGGGAAAATGTGATCACTAGGAGGACCATCAGTAAATAACTCCATAACCTGAGTGAGAAGAAAATCTCAAATTACTGTAAAATTCAGATTGAATATCAGAGAAAAATGACTTAATTTATCTCCATGTTAGTGCTGCCTAGGGTATGGGGGAAATCCCTGTGGCCGGCAGGATTTTTTAGATGCTCTACCTCATGCCCTGTGTGACTCCCTTAAATGTCTGCTGAAGCTCATGACTGCTTCAAACAAAACAGACTATGTAGAAGTGGTGGAGTATCACTTTGAGGTTGTGGCTTGTGACTTCTGTCTTATACTTGTGAAATAAGCAATGGTGTAAGGAGATGCTTTGTGACAGACTCAAATGCAAGGAGCTCTTTAGATGTACAAATGCAATTCATTCTCATGTGTTTACCTAACACTGTTAAATTTTCTCCTAGTTTAAAGGGTTTATCCAAAGATACATTTGATTTCCTTTGAAGAGGGACATATTACTCATAAGCATTGTCAGTTTTATTCTTCCTCACTGTGCTATTTATACCTCCAGAGCAGTGTTGAGAACCCATCCTGGAAGCATCCTTGTCTTGTGTCTGTAAAGAGAAGAATGCTTCCAAGGTCACCAACTTACAGATGGTAATTGCTATTAAGTTTTTGGTGAATAGCCTTCCAAAGATTAAGGCAGTCCCTTTCATTCCCAGTTTAGTAACAATTAATATCACGAAGGAATGTTTTAGTGAAGAGATTTTCTTCTTCATCTCTTCGGGCTAAAGAAATTCACTTCTCCTTAGAGTTGGCTAAAGTCTTGATGAAAAGTTTTCCTGTTAAGATGACGATAGCTTTTGCCTCCTTTGAGTTGTCCCCTGTTCTTTCTCCATCCAGGTACAAGATGATCTCTGAATTCACCTGGCCTAACCATGACCTTCCCTCAGACAAAGAGGCTATCAAAATATTCATAGAACAATGTGGTTTTCAGGATGATGTAGCTTATGGGAAGACCAAAATTTTCATTCGAACACCCCGTACATTGTTCACCTTGGAAGAACTCCGTGCACAGATGCTTGTGAGGATTGTCCTCTTCCTACAAAAGGTAACTTCGTGCCTTATATGTAAGAAGGTCTTTGCATGTTCAAAGCTTTGCTAAATGTTTTTCTTGATTCAAGAAATGTGTGTGGGCCTGGAGAGATGACTCAGTGGTTAAGAGCACTGGCTGTTCTTCCAGAGGTCCTGAGTTCAATTCCCAGCAACCACATGTCAACTCACAGCTATCTGTAATGAGATCTGGTACCCTCTTCTGGCCTGCAGGCATACATGAAGGCAGAGCACTGTACACATGATAAATAAGTAAATCTTAGAAAGAAAGAAAGAAAGAAAGAAAGAAAGAAAGAAAGAAAGAAAGAAAGAAAGGAAGGAAGGAAGGAAGGAAGGAAGGAAGGAAGGAAGGAAGGAAGAAAGAGAAAGAAAGAAAGAAAGAGAGGGGAGAGGGAGGGAGGGAGGGAGGGAGGGAGGGAGGGAGGGAGGGAGGGAGGGAGGGAGGTCTGACGGTCTATTATATTCTCACACCACCCCCTTCATAGTCTATTCCTTTCCTTTGATTTTTGGAGTTACTTTTACTTCAGGTTGGGTATAGTGTTTTCCCTGGTGCTCTGTTCTGTTCTTTTCCTATTTGTCTGTCTTTATGTTAATGCCACACAGATTTTACTTATTAGTACACAGCTTCTTAAGTTGTGGATTATAACCCATTCATGATTTTGTAACTGAGTGTAACAGGTAGAAAAACTCTGGTAACAGGAAAAAGTTTCTGAACATGAAGTGACCAAGAATTAATTCAGAATTAAATATATAATGAATGTGAGGTTTTTGAGGCAGGGCTCACCCATGTTGCATTGTACACTTTACTGCAGCCTTGATTCTGAACACATGACACACCCATGTTGCACTGTACAAGCCATCACGCCATCAACCAATGATGCCTGAAACAAACAGCTCAGATTGGAAATCACCATATGCTATAAATTGCAGTGTTAAAGTGCATGCAAGTTTGCTGCTCTTACAGAAACACTATTGAATTACACAAAAGACAATATTTTAATACTTTCACTCTTCAACATGTATCAAATTAGTGAATCCTTGAATTGTATTATGTTAGAATGTTTGATCTTGAAAACTGCTGTTTGAATGGTTGACTTGAGTTTCCTTTGGAAAAAAAAATAGGTGGTGGCACAGGCCTTTAATCCCATCACTCAGGAGGCAGAGGCAGGGGGAATCTCTTAAGCTCCAAAATAGTTAGGGCTACACAGAATAACCTTGTCTAAAAAAAATAAAAACAACAATAACAAAACTTGATAAATGAACTTTGGCTCCTGTGTCCATTTCATTAGAGTTGTTTTTAAAAAATTTCTCTATGGTTTATTATGATTAAATGTTTCATTTGTAAGCCTATTTTACATATACACCTAAGAGTTACCTAAAACTTTCTCAGATGAATAGTGTTTACAGTAGGAAACGTTGAAGAAACCCTGTGTGGGTGTACAGTAGGATTGGACCACATATAGACCTTGATCCCACAATATCAATTTTAATGTATATAATGGGGTCATTAAACATAACAGTAATTTTTATTAGGATTACAATGAATTTACAGAATCATTTAAAAGGATTAACAATTGTGCAGTATTAAATCTTATTGTTATGAGTACCAAATAGGTTTATTTAAATCATCTTCATTGGCTTTTCGACCAAAAGAGGACTTAGGATTCATGATTAATTCATAGATCCTTTACTATTTTTGTTGCTAGTATGGATTTATTATATTTTCTACATAGCAATGTTGGTGCAGAGAATAATATTGGCTGTGTTGGTTTTTCTGCATCTAGAGTGAAATGTTTCTTAACTTATATTTATTGACTAGTTTTCCTGGGTAAATGATTGCATCATATGCAGACATAAAAATTATCTCTTCCCTTACAGTTGCCAAGGTGTTTCTAAGTGTTGGACTCCATTCACTTTGCCTGGAAGGCAAAATAACTTTTAAACTAGACTATAAATTTCTGTTTAACCCTCAAACAATTTCTTTGTACCAATTACACTTTGAATATTGCCTTTGTCCACTTATATTTTCTTTCTTATGAATTATGTGACCTTGGATCTTTATTTTCCAAAACATTAAACTATTTTCGTACACCTGTCACAGATCTTCAAGTTGTTTCCCTTGATCCTTGTTGCTCATCTTTGATGGGCTTTGTGGTGGTGGACTTATTGGTTGGTTAGTTTGTTGATTAGTATCTTTGAGGTAGGATCTGACTATGTAACTCAAGCTTGAATTCATGGCCATCCTGCTGCAGTCTTCTGAGTGTTGGGGAAAGTATATGCCCAATTATTTCTTATGGTTTTGTTGTTAATTTTTTGTTGTCTTTTTTTAGATCCAAAACTATTTTTGCTCAGTCTTTTGAAACAGGTTAACTGGCTTTGAAGTTAGTCTGTTCAGGTTCACTTTCTTAGAAAGTCATTTGGAAGGGGCATTTTGTGAACATAACTCAGCAATTTTGTTGAGGCTTTCCATTTTCTTGTGTGTGTGTGTGTGTGTGTGTGTGTGTGTGTGTGTGTGTGTGTGTGTGTGTGTGTTTTGCTTGGACAGAGGTTTAGATTGTAGACCATGCTAACTTGATACTCAGTTTTGAAGAATATTGGGATTATAGAAATGTGTCACCTTGGCAGCTATATTTTTCTTGTTCTTTATGATGATTTGTTTTTATTTTGTATCTGTTGTAGAATCAGTTTTAATAAGTTTTTCCCTAGAAAACCATCCAGGTTCTACAGTCATTCCCTCTTACACTCACTTTGTTTTTCTTTGTCAGCTTTAGTGATGTATTTTATTATGTTTCCCCATAATAAAATGTGTCTCCATTTTACCTATTCTATAATTTTCTTACTTTTAATTTACTAATTATATGTTTTATCTTGTCAAATCTTTTTTATCATATATTTTATTTATTTTTTTAATCCCAGCTCCCTCTCCCTCCCCTCCTCCCATGCCCTTCACCAGCCACCCCCTCCCCCTGCCCCAGTCCCCAATCCTTTCCCCAGGGAGGCATAGTCTGTCATTTAATCCGGGGCAGGGCCCTTCCCCAAGAGTCCAGGCTGAGAGAGCATCTCACATTGTGGGATGGGCACCCAAAGTCCATTTGTATGCCAGAGATAAATACTGATCTACTACCCAAGGACCCATAGATTGCCTAGGCCTCCTCACTGACACCCACATTCAGGGGGTCTGGATCAGTCCCATGCTGGATTCTCAGCCGTCAGTCTGGGGTTCAAGAGCTCTCCCTTGTTCAGGTCAGCTGTTTCTGTGAGTTAAACAAGCCCAGTCTTGACCTCTATGCTCATCAGTCCTCCCTCTCTGTCACTGGGTTCCTTGGGTTCAGCTCAGTGTTTAGCTGTGGGAGTCTGCCTCTACTTCCATCAGTCATTGGTGGAAGGTTCTGTTTCCCAGACTCATTGGCAATGGGACTGTAGGCTGGTACTACCCTGATGCATGTCTAAAATCCATATATGAGTGAGTACATACCATGTTTCTCTTTTTGTGACTGGGTTACCTCACTCAGGATGGTTTCTTCTAGTGCCATCCATTTGCCTGCAAATTTCAAGATTTCATTGTTTTTTTTCTGCTGAATAGTACTCCATTGTGTAAATGTACCACATTTTCTCTATCCACTCGTCAGTTGAGAGACATCTAGGTTGCTTCCAGGTCCTGGCTATTACAAATAATGCTGCTATGGACATAGTGGAACAGACGTCCTTGTTGTACAAATATGCATCTTTTGCATATATGCCTAAGAGTAGAATTGCTGAGTCTTGTGGTAGGCTGATTCCCATTTTCCCGAGGAATCTCCATACTAATTTCCAAAGTGGTTGTATGAGTTGGCACTCCCACTGGGAGTAGAGGAGTGTTCCCCTTTCTCCACATCCCTTCCAGCATAAACTGTCATTGGTGTTTTTGATTAGCCATTCTGACAGGATGGTATCTCAGAGTTGTTTTGATTTGCATTTCCCTGATGGTTAGGGATATTGAGCACTTTCTTACATGCCTCTCAGCCATTTTAGACTCCTCTATTGAGAATTCTCTATTTAGTTCTGTAGCCCACCTTTTTTCCCTCAATATATGTTTTTATTTAAATTAGAAAAATGCATGCTTCACATGTCAGTCCCAGCTCCCTCTCCCTCTCCCTTCCCTCCTCCCCCTCACCTCCACCATGCTCCCCAAGCCCCCACCCAATCTCCACTTGGATCCCCAGGAAGTTAGGCCCTCCATGGAAGATCTCCAAAGTCCTTCATTTCATCCAGGGCAGGGGCTAGGCCCTCCCCCAAGAGTCCAAGCTGAGAGAGCATCCCTCATTATGGGATGGGCAGCCAAAGTCCATTTGTATGCCAGTGATAAATACTGCCCAAGGCCCCATAGATTACCTAGGCCTCCTCACTGACACCCACATTCACAGGGTCTGGATTAGTCCCATGCTGTCCACCCAGCCATCAGTTATCTGTATGTTCTTGCATTTGTTTGTTAAATTTGTGTTGTGTTTTGCATTCTTCCTGTTAGGTTATAATAAAGCCCCCATTACAAGAACACTCTTGTGAAGAATTAAGAGTGGCTCATTAACACATAAGCTTACAATGAAGATTGTGAATTCAAAAACTAGGAATAATATCACCGTTAATTATAAGTGGGCTCCAAGGTTTGTATGTGGAATTAAGTAAACTAACCACTAGACAGACTAGATAGAATAATTTTCCAACCAGGATTTTGTTGGTTCTGCAATCCATTTGCACCCTCCTCACAGGTATTGTTGACTGTGAAGCTTTGTCAAGTGAGGGAAGAAGCCATGTGGACTTCACAGGCTTCTAAACAAAGCCCTCTCCCTTCTATGTGAAACCAACCACATGCTTTGTTATTTCTCAGACTAAAGGCAAAAATCATTATTTCTCAAAAAAAAATCAAACCAGAAAGTTTCCTAAAATGGTATCTGACTGATAGATGCTCTTCTGGTTACTTTATATACTGCTACATATTATGAGAACCTTTCAAACAAGTCC